CATTGAGACCAGTGGTTTTCCCCAATCGTCATCTCTCTCTCCATACAAAAGCATACTATTTTTCATTTCTGATTAACTTTTATACTTTTTAAGCACAATAGTATTATAGAATTTGAAGTTTATTCAACTGAGGGTGCAGGACACACCCGCATAAACCCTATCTGTTGGTGTTTTTCATACCCGAACCCACAGTCTGGGCAGAGTTTGCAGTCAGCATTTGAAACAAAGCCTCTCACACCCAGTGACACTTTTCTTCTTTAAGCAGTGTTTTCACGGCATATGCCATGACAAATTGCTTTCCCATTATTCAGTTACTTTTATTTTCAAAATGGAAATTTTTTATTCTCAATTCATCACTATTAATTTTATATATGCTTTTATTAAAGTATACTCAGTCATGCCCAGTTCTTTGTGACCCCATGGACTATAGTCCACCAGGCTCCTCTGTTCATGGGATTCTCCTGGCAAGAATACCGGAGTGGGTTGCCATCCCCTTCTCCAGGGGATCTTCCCAATTCAAGGATCAAACCTGGGTTTCCGGCATTGTAGGCAGATTCTTTACCAGTGAGCCACCAGGAAAACCCATTATTAACTCTATATATGCTTTTATTAAAACACATTCAAACATTATTAAAATGTTTAAATTAGTAAATGAAATGTCCCTATGAGTCTACCTACCCAGACAATCATAGTAAATTATCTCTGTTTATCCTCTTAAACCTTTTTCTTAAAAGTATATAAGTAAACACACTATATATAATCTGTACCAACAAGAAGATCATATAGTATTCATCATTCTGTATGTTTTCCCTAACCATGGGCATTTTTTATGCTAATATTTTTGTTGATCTACCTTGTACTCCATTGCTTGAATATAACAATAATTACAGTTGACCTTGGAATAACATAGGTTTGAATTGCCCAGGTCCACTTAAAAGTCTACTTTTTAAAAATAAATATAGTCATATATTTATGATCTGCTCTTGGTTGAATTCTCAGATAAGGAAAGAGGGCCAACTGTAGGACTTGAGTGTGTCCAGAGTTTGGTACATGTGACTGATTCTGGAACCAGTTCCCCTACAGATAGCAGGAGACAATTGGATACATATTTTGCTAATTTCATATTGACAGACATTCAGGCTATGACCACTGTTTTACCAAAGTGATTCAGTTTTATGGATATATATACAAATCTATATAATTTTCAGATTCTTTTCCATTATAGGTTATTGCAAGAAATTGAATATAGTTCTCTGTGCTGTATAGTAAATCCTTACTTATCTAATTTAAACACAGTAGTGTGTTTCTGTTATTCTCATGGTCCTAATTTATCCCTCACCCTCTCTCCCCTTTGGTGACCATACGTTTTTTGCTTTTTTCCCCCTATGTCTGTGAGTCTGTTTCTGTTTTGTGAGTAAGTTCATTTATATTATTTTGTAGATTCCACATACAAGTGATATCATGTAATATTTGTATTTGTCTGACTTACTTCACTTAGTATAATAATCTCTAGGTCCACCTATGTCTGCAAATAGCAGTATTTCATTTTTAATGGTTGAGTAATATTCCATTGTATATATGTATACCACATCTTCTTTATCCACTCATGTGTCAATGGACACTTAGGCTATTTTCACATCTTCTTGGCTATTATAAATAATGCTGCTGTGAATATTGGGTTGCATGTGTCTTTTTGAATTATTATCCCTAGTATTTCTGAGGATTTTTTTTTTTTAGTGATAGCACTAGGGATTAAAATATACACATATAGCTTAATATCATTTTACCAGTAATATCATTTTACCACTTAAATTGGGATATAATTTTACCTACCTTTAGACTCCTTTACACCTCTCTATCCATAACATAGTTGTCTTAAATATTTCCTCTACATATGTTGAGATCCTCATGAAAACTTTTGCTTTTAAATGTCACATATAATTTTAAAAGCTCAAGGGGAAAAGAATACTCCATAATTTAACCATATGCTTACTCTTTCCTATACTCTTTCTTCATGCCTAATGTTCCATTTTCTTTTTATTTTTCTTTTTTTGACCTTTGAGGAATTTCCTCTTGCCATTCTTTTTCAACCAGTTGCCTGCTGACAAATTAGTCTCTCTTCCCTTTATCTGAAAACGTCTTTATTTCACCTTTATTCTTTAAAAATATTTTCACTCAGCCCAGAATTTGGGGGTGGTAATTGCTTTTACTTTCTCTGGCCTCTGTCGTTTCTGGAAAGCAATCTGCTGTGCTCTAGTAGGCAATGTCTTCTCATAGGATGCTTTCAGGCTTTTGTCTTTGTCTCGAGTTTTTAGAAGTTTTAATTTGAGGTGTATAGATTCCTCAGTGTTGATTTCTTTGACATTATCCTGTTTTGGACATTTTGAGCCCCTTAAATCTATAAGACTATGTTGTGACAAATTTGGGGAGTTTTCAATCTTTCCTCAAACCTATTGCAGCTCCATATTCATTTTCTTTGTACCTTTGTGTGTGTGTGTGTGTGTGTGTGTGTGTTTTGACACCAATAGCATGTTATATATTTTCCATTGTCTCACAGGTCCCTGAAGCTCATATTAATTTTTAAATCTGTATTTCCCTTATTGTTCATAATTTCTATTGACTTAACTTACTGTTCACTAATTTCTCTGAAATTTGCTTTCTGCTATTAATGGGTTTATTTATTGTTTAATACTAAGTTCAAAATTTCTATTTTGTTCTCTTGTATATTTTCTATCACTTTGCTGAGAGTTTCATTTTTTTGTTTCAAGAGTGTTCATAATTACTTGTTGGAGCATATTTTAACAGCAGATTTATAGTTCAAGCCTAAAAATCCCAACTTCTCTATCATTTTGACTTTCTGGTTTGTAGATTGTATTTCTCACTGAAATTAAGATATTCCTGGGTTTTGGTATGAGGAGACATTATGGACAATTTCCTGGATGCTATTGCTATTATATCTTAATGACTTTGGTTTCTAATTAAAATTTCTATTTTAGCAGGTAGTCAGCCTGTTTAGATTTGTAATGTACACCCTGGATCACTTTCGTGAGCTTTTTTTTCAAATCTCAGTCTAATTTATAAAACCTGACTAGTGCTGCTTTGTTAACCATCTCAAGTCTCCTTGCTACCACCTAAGGAGGGGAAAGTGTGCTCTACTGGGTGGGATATGGAAATAATAGTTTCTTCCAGGCCAGACATCTTCTGGTTCCTGAAGAAAAGGAAGGAAGGAGGATGGAAGTCAGTTCTTCTCATTGACTCTGCAGGGGAGAGAAACTGCTTTGTTTACTTCAGATCAAGTGTGGAAGTCAGAGCTCTGCCCTGAGTGGGGAGAGCACACTTGTTACTGGAGTAGAAATAAGGGGAAATTACAAATTATATAAATAGGAGAAAATATAAACATCGGGGGAAATAGTCTCATTTATATAATTATGACCACTCAGGTTTTTTTGGAAATCTCTCATCTCTGATTACACTTTGCTTGATTTTTTTCACAATTGTTATTTGAACTATTATTTATAAAACATATTTTTTATTTTCTATTCAGCTTGGTGATAGGAGGAAGAGGGTATAAATATATATATAGCCAATAGTTATCATGACCTGCAATTGAAGTACGGAAAAGATTAAAATTTGAGCATGACTATTCTAAAGTGGACTTCCCTGGTGGCTCAGATGGTAAAGCGTCTGCCTACAATGCAGGAGACCCAGGTTCAATCCCTGGGTCGGGAGGACCTCCTGGAGAAGGAAATGGCTACCCACTCCAGTATTCTTGTCTGGAAAATCCCATGGACGGAGAAGCCTGGTAGGCCCCAGTCCATGGGGTCCCAAAGAGTCGGACATGACTGAGCGACTTCAATATATATTCTAAAGTAGCTTTTGTTAACTTATGTTTATCTTAACAAAAAAGCATCTTTCTGTACAAGGATTCTACAATTAAACATGTTGATGGTCTTTTAAAATTATGCAGCACTAACAGAGTAAACTCAATAAAAAAATGTCCTATATATATACANCATAAAAAGAAGGCATTTCCACCCTACTGTTCCTATCTACCTAGGAAAAGTATACTGTTCGTTGAGGCTTGAATTCAAATGTCAACTTCCTGTGAAGACATCTCCTGAGCAAATTAGTCACATTTTCCTATCTTATTCCAGAGCATTTGAAACATATTACATATTACATTTTGTATTATTTTCCTATATGCCCTCCCTCTCTAGACTATAAACAGTTCAATGGTACAGGTATAAGCCATGTATTATGCAGATCTTTGAGTTCACAAGGCTTGTATCACTGCTGAAAAATGTTTCTTGGGAAAAGGAATGAATTCAAAATAAAATCTCACATGTAAAACCAGTTTAAAGGAGTTTGAGCTCACAATCATTAATTTTATCATTTATCTCAAACTTTTAAGTATGAAGTGATATATATAGGTAAATATATCATGATTTTATTAGCTAAAGAATTAACTAACTTTATGTTCAAAATATATCTTTAATTAGGAGTAAGAGTATATGGTAATTGGAAGTATAATCTCACTGAGCCTATGAGGATAAAAAATCATTACTAAAGTTACCTTTGGAGAATTTGCATTCTGACTATAAACAGTTATTTAATTGTGCCTAAACTTATCCATGATTGCATGATGTTTTGGTTTTGCTTTTTGAAATAGTTCAATTTACTCTATTATGTAGGATGGGGCATCCAAGAATGTGCTAAAAGACCTCATAAATAATGACACTATAGATATAGATATAGACATGTGTTAATTACAATAAAGAAAATAATAAGCTAAAATTCTCAGAGTAGTATACAATACTAGTAGGTGAGTCATTAGACATAAGCTGCTAAAATAAAATAACAATTATAAAATAAAATTATAAATTTTATAAAATAAAATTAAATTGTAAAAATTATAAATAATAATGTCAGCAGTTTACAAGATTGTGTGTGAAAAAATAATGTAAATAACTGATGATATATTCCTTTCTTCTCATCTTTAGGGTTGCTGGAGAAAGATAACTATTGATGACTTTCTGCCTTTTGATGAAGTAAATAATCTACTGCTTCCAGCTACAACCTATGAATTTGAACTTTGGCCAATGCTTTTGTGTAAAGCTATCATTAAGCTGGCAAATGTTGAGTAAGTATAATAAAGAATTTTCATGCACTTGTGTAAAAACAAAATGGCAAGCAGCAGCAACAACAACTATGCATCAATATTGCACAGCTTTATTTTTCAAAAAATAATTTTTAAAAAGCATTTTCTCCAAACCAGTGTAAACTTTCTAATATAGCAATAAACATTCCAAAGCCACTGGTTTGAAGTGTTATGTTAGCCAGCAATGAGACAAAATTCCCCCAAGAAAAATGCTCAAAACTGATTCTGTATCCAGTGTTTTCTTATGATGAATGGCAAGTCAGTCATGGAAAGTAAAGTTTCAGTTTAATGAAAGAAGGAAGTTGTTTGGTAGGGGAAAGTACTGGTTCATCTAATTGTTGAATGTACGTCCTGTTGTTGCTTAGTTGCTAACTAAGTCATGTCCAACTCTTTTGCAACCCCATGGACTGTAGCCCACCAGCCTTCTCTGTCATGGGAATTTTCCAGTCAAAAATACTGGAGCGCGCTGCCATTTCTTACTCCAGTGTATCCTGGGTCCAGTTAAAGTCTTAGGCTCTGTGTATGCAGCCATCATTTGCTAATCTTGATAATCTAATCTCTTTTGAAGGATGTCCATGTGTTCCTCATGGTTTAGGTAACACTGGTCCTTTTATACATTCACAATGAAAACTAGCATGTTTCCTTCAATCTTCCTGGGAAATCTGCTTGTATCTTATATTCCTGCACCAACCTATGCAAGACATGTCTCAGCTTCCTCTTGCAGACTGCGGTGCTTCTGTTCTGGTCCTTGTGCCAGTGCTGAGCTGTCTGAGTGGTGTTTGACTCTTTGCAACCCCAGGGACTGTAACCCGCCAGGCTCCCCTGTCCATGGAATTTTCCAGGCAAGAATTCTGGAGTGGGTTGCCATTTCCTTCTCCAGGGGATCTTCCTGAGGCAGGGATTGAACCCGCATCTCTTATATCTCCTGCGTTGGTAGGTGCGTTCTTTACCACTAGTGCTTTATTCTGGCTTGAGTGATGCAAGAAAGCTTTGATACCTGAGCTGCCAATGCAAGGCAACTGTGTGTCTCCAATCCATGGGAGAATTCTCACACACAATGCACCAGCTTGAATGTGCTACCCTTCCCCCTCCTGCAGTTTTATCACAGCAGGGCCTTTTCAGCAGAACACACCCGCTTGCTCTAACAGGCCACTCCAGCCACTGGCTCCAAGCTCAGCCCCCTCCCCTTCTATTATTATACACAGCTATGTCAGGCAGAAGCCTGGTCTGCTTTTCTGTGGTTTTCTTTTGGCTCAGCTTCCTTTTTCTCTCCCAAAGCTACACAAACAAAAACAGCCCCTCCTACTGCCACCCTCTTCATCTCTCTTTTCTGTTACCAACCCTCAATTTTCTATCTGGGATTTGTGTTACCCAGTTTGCAACCCTTAATTTCAATCATTTTAAAAAGCTCAGCTCAAAGCACTTAGACGGTTGAATACTACTAAGTATTTAAAATGGTAACAACTATGTTTGTTTATCTTTGAAAGGAAATAATGTTCCTAATTCTCAGATCTAACTTGAAGTCCTGAGAAGGAGAGCAACCAGGCCAGTGAAGCAGTAAATGCATGACCCGGATAATTGGAGTGGCATTTTTATCTCTCTTAAAGCTACAGTAGAATTTTAAAGCAACTCGAGAAATGGCATTATGGTTATTTTTCAAAAACAAACAAATCCAACTTTTGAATAAAGGACCAGACTTAATGTAGGATGCTTCTTAGACCTTGAAGTGGTCCAATTTATATTTGTCCAAAAGTTTTTCTCAGAATTTACAGTAGATGGTTAATTTCTTACTGTGAGTTTTAGCTTTCTACACTAAAAATTAATATTTAGTAGTTATTTAAATATCACTGTGACATGTACAGAGGAAAAAACATTACTTTTATGAGCTTCACACAGTCACCTCCTAAATATGATTATTCAAAGAGGAGGTTAGACTGTGACTATCTATTCCAGTAGATATTTGTTATCTTGGAGATATGTGGACACATCACAATTTATAATCTGCAAACAAAAAACCAATATAAATTTCTAAATGATTGAATGTGTGACTAAGATTTCTTTCTGAATTAAAAAACTTGTATCCCAATAATACCATCAGTCACCACCACTATCATAACATGGAACTGAAGCTCTGATTCCTGAGCAAAATATAGATATAGCATTTGTGTGTGTTACTGAAAATAGATTAATCACTTCAGAAAAATATTAAAAGTAAAGGATTAAAATAAGAAGAGTGATATTTAATCAGTCACAGTCTCACTGACTTTATGCTATAGTGGCAGATCGACTCTTTTGTACAAGATAGAATGGATGTTTCCGGCTTCTCAAAAATTATTTAAGGATTTCATCAAAAATGTCTGATAACTATCTTGTCCTGTCATGTGTGAGACTGGTTTAATATACAGACTCATAGGAATCTTATGATAATTACTGAAACTCCAAAGAGGAAAGACACTGCCCTATTTTTAAAAGAACATGATAATATGTTGAATATACAGAAGAGATTATGTATCATCTATATATATGAAGTGAAGTGAAGTGTAAGTAGCTCAGTTGTATCCAACTCTATGCAACCGCATGGACTATAGACTGCCAGGCTCCTCCCGTAGAATTTTCCAGGCCAGAATACTGGAGAGGGTAGCCGTTCCCTACTCCAGGGGGTCTTCCCAACCCAGGCAGCGAACCCAGGCATCAAACCCAGATCTCTTGCATTGCAGGAGGATTCTTTACCAGCTAAGCCACAAGGGAAGCCCAAGAATACTGGAGTGGGTAGCCTATCCCTTCTCTAGGGGATCTTCTTGACCCAGGAATCAAATCAGGGTCTCCTGCATTGCAGGTAGATTCTTTACCAACTGAGCTATCAGGGTAAATGCCTTATCAAAACAAGTCATCTGATTGTTGGAAAAGTATATTCTTATGCCATCATTTATAACCAGTGGGACCCCTACATTTATTCTTATCGTGCATGTGTGTGTGTGCTCAGTCGTTCTGACTCTTGGTGACCCCATGGACTGCAGCTCACCAGGCTCCTCTGTCCATGGAATTTTCCAGGCAAGGATACTTAAGTAGGTTGCCATTTCCACTCCAAGGGATCTTGCTGACCCAGGGATTGAACCAAATCTCCTACTTCTCCTGCTTTAGCAGGCAGATTCTTTACTACTAAGCCATCTGGGGAGCCCCATTTATTCTTTTATCTCTGCTTGTTAGAGATTCCTGTCTTTTACAGACCTCTCCCTGTTTTCAAATGTTATTGATGGTATTATTGTGTTTTGCTTTTTCAGCATCCATGTGGCAGAGAGGAGAGAACTGGGAGAGTTCACAGTGATTCATGCACTCACGGGCTGGTTACCAGAAGTCATTTCTCTCCAGTATGTTTGACCATTAAATTACTCATATATTTTTCTTGTTTCTTCCTCAGTAAAGTTGTTTTAACTAAAATATTCTTAGTCTTAAAGAAAATTTCAAACATTGCCACATTTTACAAAATGTTTGGAAAATAGCATGTTATAGTATCACATACAATTTATTGAGAATTGCAGGATTAATTCTTTTTACTTATATATAATAAATTTAATCCTTAAATATTTGAATTACAAGTATTAAAACAATGCTAATTATTTACTATGGTAAAATATTTACAGGTGACCCATTTATTCTCATAACATTTATTCAGTACAGAAAAATGAAAGCAACTTTTAATTAGCTACCCATACTAGAGAATAAATAACACTAAAATGCCTATTAGACCTTAGGCACTTTAATATATTATTCCAGTTAAAACTCACAGTCCTGAAAAGATGATCTTAGTTGATCATCTGTATGACCTTATCAGCTCAGTGTTGTAAATCATTAGAAATGAGAAAACTGAAGCTCATAGTAGTTGAACTCCCTGAAGCTGTGTACATTGTACCTAGAGGTAAAATTTGGATCTAAATATTTCTGGAGCCAAAGCACATAGTGTTTCTCTCATATGATTCTAGATATATAAAAATTGTTTGCCTATGTATAAAGAGAGAACATTTAATGCAAAGCGTACTTAAAATTTCACAAATATTTTTTGTTTCATATATAAAGGTTATAGACATATGATTTGAACATATTACCATTGACACTGAAAATTAATCAGACTAAGGTGCATAGGTTTTAGAAAAGGCAGAGGAACCAGAGATCAAGTTGCCAATATCTGCTGGATCATCGAAAAAACAAGAGAGTTCCAGAAAAACATCTATTTCTGCTTTATTGACTATGCCAAAGCCTTTGACTGCGTGGATCACAATAAACTGTGCAAAATTCTGAAAGAAATGGGAATACCAGAACACTTGACCCACCTCTTGAGAAACCTGTATGCAGGTCAGGAAGCAACAGTTAGAACTGGACATGGAACAACAGACTGGTTCCAAATAGGAAAAGGAGTACGTCAAGGCTGTATATTGTCACCCTGCTTATTTAACTTATATGCAGAGTACATCATGAGAAATGCTGGGCTGGAAGAAGCACAAGCTGGAATCAAGATTGCCGGGAGAAATATCAATAACCTCAGATATGCAGATGACACCACCCTTATGGCAGAAAGTGAAGAAGAACTAAAGAGCCTCTTGATGAAAGTGAAAGAGGAGAGTGAAAAAGTTGGCTTAAAGCTCAACATTCAGAAAACTAAGATCATGGCATCTGGTCCCATCACTTCATGGGAAATAGATGGGGAAACAGTGGAAACAGTGTCAGACTTTATTTTTGGGGGCTCCAAAATCACTGCAGATGGTGACTGCAGCCATGAAATTAAAAGACGCTTACTCCTTGGAAGGAAAGTTATGACCAACCTAGACAGCATATTAAAAAGCAGAGACATTACTTTGCCAACAAAGGTCCGTCTAGTCAAGGCTATGGTTTTTCCAGTGGTCATGTATGGATGTGAGAGTTGGACTGTGAAGAAAGCTGAGCACCAAAAAATTGATGCTTTTGAACTGTGGTGTTGGAGAAGACTCTTGAGAGTCCCTTGGACTGCAAGGAGATCCAACCAGTCCATCCTAAAGGAGATCAGTCCTGGGTGTTATTTGGAAGGACTGATGCTGAACCTGAAACTCCAATACTCTGGCCACCTCATGCGAAGAGTTGACTCATTGGAAAAGACCCTGATGCTGGGAGGGATTGGAGGCAGGAGGAGAAGGGGACGACAGAGAATGAGATGGCTGGATGTCATCACCAACTCGATGGACATGAATTTGAGTAAACTCCGGGAGTTGGTGATGGACAGGGAGGCCTGGCATGCTGCGATTCATGGGGTTGCAAAGAGTCGGACATGACTGAGCGACTGAGCTGAACTGAACTGAAGGTGCATAGAGATAATCATATCAATAGATCTAAACGTACTGTCAATCAGAATGCTGATTTTTACAAGATCAAATTCACAGTACAGTTACCAGTTTGGATCATCTCTGATCTCTCATGTTAGAAAGCTAGCATTCTCAGGTCCAGGTTAAAGCAGATTGAAGACAGGTTCTAGTCACTTGGATTCTATCATTTAAAACATCCTTTCAGCAGGATAAGCTAGCCATTGCATAGTTTAAATAAAAATATTTGTAGGGAAAAATTAGGAGAGTAGACAAACTCCTTGACACCTTTTCCTGGAAGAGAACTGACCTTGCTTTTTGCCTTCAGAAAGGTCCAGATGGCAGCCTTTTATATCTTCTCATGGAAAATCATTTTCTGATACCTAAGAGAATATTTATTGGCATAATATGGTCAATGTTAGTAAGGAGAAGTAGAGAGAGGGTGGGATTTATAAACATGGACTTTACTAATTTTTATCTTCAATGTTGATGGAATGCTTATAATTTTCCTTTAATTTTTCCTGCAATAAAGATACCAGAGACATTAAAACATCAGACATCTATCAGAGGATGGTAAAGAAGCAGGAGATCAAAATAATTTTTGAATAGGAAATTATTAAATTAAAAATTGTGAATAGTCTCTTACAGTGAAATTTTGCATGAAAATTGAAAACAATGTTCATATACTTTCATGATTATAAAACCAGTTTAATAATTAAATTAAATTTAAAAATTGTAATATTTTAGATGCTCAATTTGCATGAATATATGATTGCTTATAAAATGTCTATAATAATGATATAAGGGAGGGAAGCTTGAGCTTTGGATTCAGAACTGTATATCTAGATTTACATTTTTATACTTCCTGCTTCAAGCTATGTAAATTTTACAAGTAATATGATTTTGGGGGCCCAGAGTTTCCATATGTAAAATAGGTAAAAAATTACCTATCCTATCTGGCTGTTCTGGGGATTGAAAAGGTGAGAGTATTGGAAAAAGTAGCTGATGTATGGTAGAGAGATAATTAGTGCTAGTTCCTTTCCCCTAATGCATGTCACTAGATTATTTAATATTATATAGAAATATGTATGATAGCTAGTAATCAACCTTTGGAAGCAGAGAAAAGTCTAAACAAATAAGTGAGACTGACTCAGATGTTCAAATTTATCATTTTACTTCTAAATATAGTAAAAAAGTAAAAGATATGTACTCTCTTTGATTTATGTCATAATGTGTAGGATTTTTTATTATGAATACTCTGCCACATTATTCATATAATTTAAAATTGCAATTACACTATAAAATCACAAAGTTAATTCATGTGTATATATGTGTATAATTTTAAATGAAAAGAATGTCATGGAACTGTAATAATGATTGTTAAGAAATGTTTAATTTGAAATCACTGCCTGCCAAGGATGCAGGGAGAGGTTGGGCATGGCTTCCTGGAGAAAGTTCTGATTTGATCAGAGCTTCTGCTCTTGGCTGGGATTGATTTGAGAAGAAGGGAGGGAAAGGGTATGGAAAGCAGGCGAACGGTAAGATGGAAGCCACTGGTCTGTTCAGAAGTTGGATGCTTCTTTTACTACGAAGGGTTCCGGGCGCCGAGACAGCCTCTGAGGGACCCCACTGGGCATGGGCATAGTTTAACAGAGGTCCAGTAGAACCAGGATATTGAAGTTTCAAATTGTGTTCACTGCTGACTTTTTCCATATGAAAATCAGTAGAGTGAAAAGTGTTTTGTGATGTCTTCAACAGACAGCCCTTTCCCTTCCCTCTTGCATAGAAGTACTGAAGGGAGACATGGCTAGATTTGCAATTGTTGACCTTGCCTCATGTTTTCCTACAGTTAGCACTGTCTTATCATTTGAAATAAAAAACAAAAACTTGTAACTCTCTGTATTATACTAGAAACACAGAGTGGATATTAGAAGTCTGCCAATTTCAAATGAAGAGATGATGTTTTTCTCCACAAATTTGTCTGATCTTGATGTAATTCATTTGAGAATGGAACACTCCACCATCCCACACTTAAGCCTAATTGTTCAAGAAGTTGTATAGTCTCATCCTGTGGGGTTTGAATATTTCTCTTTCACAGTATAACATTTATTACATTGTAGGTGGAAAAAACACATGGTTTTGGATTCAGAAAGATCTGTTTTAATCCTGATTTTAGTATTTCCTAGTCTATCATTTCGGAGAAGGCAATGGCACCCCACTCCATTACTCTTGCCTGGAAAATCCCATGGACGGAGGAGCCTGGTAGGCTGCAGTCCATGGGGTCGCGAAGAGTCAGACGTGACTGAACGACTTCACTTTCACTTTTCACTTTTCTGCATTGGAGAAGGAAATGGCAACCCACTCCAGTGTTCTTGCCTGAAGAATCCCAGGGATGGGGTTGCACAGAGTCGGACACAACTGAAGTGACTTAGCAGTAGCAGTCTATCATTTGTGATTGCATAAAATTTGCAACCTTCTCTTATACCTCAATTATGATTGCACTACTTAGGTTACAGAGCCTTTGGGGGATTAAATGCAAAATACAAAACAAAACAAAACAAAAAACCCTACCTGGCCACCCACATCTTCATTCCGCTTCTCAAATGTTCTAAAATCATTATCCCCTAGGGTCTTAACCTGAACTGTTCTTTCTTTATGCCTTAAATGATCTTCTATCAGATATTTACTTGGCTGGATATGTCATAACACTTAGATCTCACCAGGCTTAAATATCAACTCCTCAGAAAAGCCTTTTCAGCCATCTAGGTTTAAATAATTTCTTTCCCAAATGATTCCATAGCCCATTGTTTATTATTTTATTTTCATTATGAAAGTTATCGCCGCCTTCCACTGAGAAGTTATCACTGCCTTCCATCTTCCACTGAGATGGTATGGTGTATGAGAACAGGAACTCTTTTTTGTCTTTCTCAATGTTGAGACTTCCAGTGCTTAAAAAAAATGACACTGCATGACCGGTACATGGTATGATCTTAATAAATGTTTGTTGATAGAATAATTTAAAAAACACTTTAAAAGGCTAAACCAGAAGTGTGCAAAAGATTCTTTGGTAGTGCAGGAACATATAGCTTAATTTCCCCAGAAAGTAATGCTTAAACTGATCTCAAAGGATTAGTTGAAACTAATGAGGCTTATTGGGGCAGGGAAGACAACTCAGAGAAGAAAGAATAGCATGGAAGGGCAAGACAGCATGGTGTACTCCCAGAAAAGCACATGTATCTGCAGGAGTGGATTTTGGCTGCTGGATTCTAGAGGAGAGATGAGTAGGGGGTGGAGAGGTGTATAGGAGCAAAACAGACGAAGTTAAGAAATTTGCAACAGAATGTCGCTGAGAGATTTTATACAGCAGGATGATCTCGATCAGGCTTGTGAGTTTGGAGGCTTGCTCAGAGCAGGAGGACAGATATGAGGACTGGAGCAGGGAAACTGGTTTGTGCAGTACTGCAGAAGGGCTTCTATGGAAAAAAACTGGTAAAAATGGAGAAAGGGGGACTTCCTTGGTGGTCCTGAGGCTAAAACTCCACATCCCCAATGCAGGGGGCCCCAGATCAATCCCTGGTCAGGGAACTAGATCCCACCTGCTGCAACTAAGAGTTCATATGCGGGATCAACTGAAGATCTTGCATGCCATAACGAAGATGGAAGATTCCAAGTGCTGCAACGAAGACCTGGTGCAGCCAAATAAATAAATGTTTAAAAAAGAAAAGATGAAAGAGAACGTTCAAAAAAAAAAAAAACATGTTGAAAGTGTTGTCTACTGCAGTAGGAGGAGGAGGGATCAATGGGATATATTTTTTATTTGAGGAGAGTTTCAAGGTGAGAGACTTGGTCATTCTCACTTCTCTAAGTTGACTGAAAAGTAGAAGATGGTAACAGAATGTTTTTGTTGGTTGATCAATTGATTTGTTTTTGGATAGTTGTCTATTAGATGGTTGTACACATGAGCCTGGTTATCTGAAGAGAGGTTTGAGCTGGAGCTTATGAGTTGAGGGTTACATACACATACGGGTGAACCCAAAATGTGATTGTGCTTATTCACTCACTGAGGAAAGGATATAGGATAGCAAGAGCATACTGAGGAGAACTATGGAGTTCAGTCAGTTCAGTCACTCAGTCATGTCCAACTCTTTGTGACCCCATGGACTGCAGCATGCCAAGCTTCCCTGTCCATCACCGACTCCCAGAGCTTGCTCAAACTCATGTCCATCAAGTTGGTGATGCCATTCAACTATTTCATCCTCTGTCGTCCCCTTCTTCTCCTGCCTTCAATCTTTCCCAGTAACAGGATCTTTTCTAATGAGTCAGTTCTTCCCATCAAGTGGCCAAAGTATTGGAGTTTCAGCATCAGTCCTTCCAATGAATATTCAGGGTTGTTTTCCTTCAGGATTGATTGGTTTGATCTCCTTGCAATCTTCTCCAACACCACAGTTCAAAAGCATCAATTCTTCAGTGCTAAGCTTTCTTTATGGTCCAACTCTCACATCTATACATGACTACTGGAAAAACCATAGCTTTGACTAGACAGACATTTGTTGACAAAGTAATGTCTCTGCTTTTGAATATGCTGTCTAGGTTTGTCATAGCTTTTCTTCCAAGGAGCAAGCGTCTGTTAATTTCATGGCTGCAGTCACAGTCTGCAGTGATTTTGGTGCCCAAGAAAAGAAAATCTGTCTCTGCTTTTTAATATGCTATCTAAGTTTGTCATAGCTTTTTTTTTTGCAATAAAAGATGCAAAGCTTCTTTTAATTTCATGGCTGCAGTCACCATATGCAATAATTCTTGCCTGGAGAATCCCCATGGACAGAGGAGTCTGGCAGGCTGCGATCCATATGGTCAGAGTCGGACACAGCTGAAGCAACTTAGCATGAATGCGTACAACATAGTAATTCAATGTTTTTATATGTTGAGAAATGGTCAGCACAGATCTAGTTAACAGGCATCACCACACATGGTTATAATTTTGTTTTCCTATGGTGAAAACTTTTAAGATCTACTTATACACTACTGTATTATTAACCAGAGTCACCCTGCTGTGCGTTACAGTGCTCTGATTCATTTATTGCATAACTGGAAATTTGTATTTTTGGAATACCTTCACTATTTTGCCCAAATCCCACCCTTTGCCTCTGGCAACCACAAATCTATTCTCTATATCAATGAGTGTGTTTGCTTTCGGATTCCATATATAAGTGAAGCAAATCATACAGTATTTGTCTTTCTTCGATGTATTTCACTTGGTATAATGTCCTTAAAGGGCTTCCTTCATAGCTCAGTCAGTAAAGAATCCCTCTGCAATGCAGGAGGCCCAGGTTCCATTCCTGGTTCCGGAAGATCTCCTAGAAAAGGAAATGACAACCCACTCCATTATTCTTGTCTGAGAAATCCCATGGACAGAGGAGCCTGGCCGGCTACAGTCCATGGGGTTGCAAGAGGCAGACACAACTGAGCAACTAAACCACCACTACTAATGTCCTCAAAGTCCATCCACATTGTTTCAAATGGCAAGATTTCTTTCCTTTTTTTATGGCAAAACAATGTTACATTGTGTATATGAATACTACACTTTATTCATTCATCCGTCCATAGGCACATACATCTTGGCTATTGTAACATTGCAGAGAACATGAAATTGTTCTTTTTGACAAACTTCTGTCTTTTTGAGTTAGGGCTTTCATTTCCTACAGATAAATGCCCAGAAGTGGAATTGTGGGACTATGTGATAGTTCTATTTTTAATCTTTTGAGGAAATTCCGTACTGTTTTCCATTTTGGCTGTATCAACTTATGTTCCTACCAACAGTGTACAAGGGTTCCTTTTGCTCCATATCCTTGCCAACACTTGTCATTTCTTGTCTTTTTAATAATAACTAGTATGCATGTGAGGTTGTAACTCATTGTGGGTTTGACTTATATTTTACCTGATGATTAGTGATGTTTAGCACGTTTTGTTGTACCTGTTGACCATCGGTTTATTTTCCTTGCAAATATGTCTGTTCAGATCCTCTGCCCATTTATTAACTGGATTATCTTTTTATTGATTAATTCAGATTTTAATTTGAATTAGTTAAAATTAAAACCTGGTCTGTTCGGATTTTCTGTTTTTTTGTATTAGTTAGTGGTACGTTTCTAGGAATTTATCCATTTCTTGTAGGTTGTCCAATTTGTTGTGTGTTTGTTTCTCATAGTCTTTTATGGTTCTTTGTATTTTGTGTATTAAGTACAATGTGTCTGTTTCATTTCTGATTTTATTTATTTGTTTTCTGTTGGTGAGTCTAGTTAAGGGCTTTTCAGTTTTGTCTGTCCTTTCACAAAACCAGCTCTTAGTTTCTTTGATTTTTCCTATTGTCTTTTTAGTCTCTCAATCATTTATTTAAACTCTGATATTTGTTATTTGGGAAGATCCCCTGGAAGAGGGCATGGCAGTCCACTCTAATACTCTTGCCTGGAGAATCCCATGAATAGAGGAGCCTGGTGGGCTACAGTCCATATAGGGTCTCAAAGAGTCAGACATGGCTGAAATGACTTACCACTACTTGGAGAAGGGATAGGCTACCCACTCCAGTATTCTTGCCTGGAGAATTCCATGGACATGGGAGACTAGCAGGCTACAATCCATGGGGTTGCAGAGTCAGACATGACTGAGCGACTTTCACGAGATCAATGTTTTCTTATTGCTTTTCTGTCTGGAAGATCTATTTATTGAAGAAAGTGGGGTGTTAAAGTCTCCTATTGGGTGCTCTTCTATACACTGGCCTTGGGATTGGTGAGTCGATGAAAGCCCTTTAAGAACTGTTTCAGACAGTAAAGAACCTGCCTGAAATGCAGGAGACCTGGTTTCAATCTCTGGGTTAGGAAGATCCCTTGGAGAAGGGACTGGAAACCCACTTCAGTATTCTTGCCTGGAGAATCCCATGGACAGAGAAGCCTGGCAGGCTATAGTTGATAGGGTCACAGAGTCAGACATGACTGAGTGACTAAAACTTTCACTTTACTTTCACTTTCTGAGTTTGCTATAACCTTGTGGGCCTCATGGATGCAAACCCTGCTGGCTTTCAAAACTGTGTGTTTGGGGAAGTTCTCTCTGATCTGCAGGTCTTAAAAGTTGGAATGCCAGATGATGCAGGGTGCAAACTCTTGCCTCCTCAGGGAAAATCTTCAGAATATGAGTTCTCTCCAAATTGTGGGTCACTGCACTGGCTGGGTTTTATGGCAAGACTGTGTCTCAGCCTCTCCTATCCATTCTCATTTGCCAGATATGTAGGAATTCCTCAGCTAGTTTCCCGCCCCCCCCCCCCACCAAGAAAACTGTTCTGTATGTAGCTGTAAATTTGCTGTGTCCCTAGGAAGAAGTGAGTTTAGAATCCTCCTCTATCACCATCTTAACTGGGACTCTGTGTTTGGTCTCTTTGCATCAGCAAAGCCCAGCACAGAGTAGGCACTTAATCAATGCTTGTTGAATGAATGAATATATAATGATGTTTTTAATTAAAATGTGAAATAACTATTGATCGCTCTTGTGAAATAGCAAGTTCATGTTTTTTCTGTCAGTAATTTCTTGATGTAGAGTAAGAAGTTTAATTTGGAACTTAATTTTGTTTTTCACCTAAGCCCAGGATATACGGACAAAGTTTGGGAGCTCTTGAGAGAAATATTGCCCGAGTTTAAGCTGTCAGATGAGTCCAGCTCTGAAAGCAAAATAACTGACATAGAGGCCAAATTAAAAGAACAAGGAAAAGAAGTGAAGGATGGGAAAGAAGTGAAGGATGGGAAAGAAGTGAAAGATGGCAAGGAATTCAAACCTGAAAATTCAATAACGACACTAAAACTGCCTGAGAAAAGTGAAAGGGCTTTAAAGGGTAAGACAATTTATATCACAATGTTATTCAGTATGGACATTGTATATAAATGCTTTATAATCATTGCTGGATTTAACGACTATTTATAAGCATTGTCATTTATTAAGTGTTGTGAAAACAGTCATTCAAGTTTCTCTATTTCCTGGATATTAGAACTTGCAGTGGCATGTTAATTATTTCACTATATTTTGCTCTCCTTATAATCAAAGGTAATTATATATTTTAATGATATTAAATTAATATGGTATTAATATAGAAAAAAGACATTAAGTTTCCAGTTTCCCTTCATTAAACACATCTTTCTTATATGTCATAGGTAGAGTGGAATGGGCCAAAATACCAAACCTGAAAAGTGGTCCTATTTCAGAAAATGTGAAATGGATGCAGATTAGACTATGATTTGCAGGTTGTTTATTATAAGGTGAAAGTTAAAATCTAGAAATTATATTTTTCAGGTTATTTTGCAAAGTGTAGAAGTGTATTTCTTAAGGTGAGAAATATACTTAATAAGTGGTCATTTTTATACTTTCTAAAATATTTCATATATGATACATATAAACAATAATGCTTGCAAGTAGAGTTGAATATACTAGAAAATGCTAATTTTTTTGTATAGCTGTGGTAACATCTATAACAGTCTTTCAGATATTTATGCTTTATAAGATATTGATGTTTTGTTCTTATTTAGATCTTGCACATCAGCATTTCCAATCATATACTGCCCTGAAATAACTACTGTAAATGTCCCTCAAAGATAAGCAAAAAAATTAAGTATGTGTGATTTCTGCCCCATCATGTATCCCTCTTAAAATAATCTAATATGCTTTAGTTTATAAAAGGAAGCAAAAATGAAAAAATAGCCAGGTTAAATTTGTTTTACCCAGTGTATCCTAAATTAATTTGAACATGAAATCTCTTTCTCGTGTATCACAAATTAACATCTGTCTGCCTTCCATCTATCTGGGTTTTCCAGGCAGCTCAGTGGTAAAGAATCCACCTGTAATGCAGAGGATGCAGGTTCGGTCCCTGGGTTGGGAAGATCACCTGAAGAAGGAAATGGCAACCCATTCCAGTATTCTTGCCTAGGAAACCCCATTGACAGAGGAGCCTGGCGGGCTACAGTTCATGGGGTTGCAAAGAGTTTGATATAAGTTAGTGACTTAACAACAGCCGCATCCATCCATCCAATTAACCATTCATTCAATGTACCTGGGCTTCCCTGATAGCTCAGTTGGTAAAGATCTGCCTGCAATGCCGGAGACGGGTTCAAACCCTGGGTCGGAAAGATCCCCTGGAGAAGGCAATGGCAACCCACTCTAGTATTGCCTGGAGAATTTCATGGACAGAGGAGCCTGGCAGGCTATAGTCCATGGAGTCACAAAGATCAATGTACTACTTGCTGAGAATACCTGAAAGTGTTCCAGGAATTAGCGGTAACTTAAGCAAAATCAGATGTGGATCTCACCTCTTAGAGCTTAAGTAACATGAGAAGGACTAACATTAATTTTAAAAATCATAAGTACATACTAAGACATGAGTCTTGAAGGGAAATACAGGAAACTATAAGTCGTTCATATGGGAGACCTAGTCTGGGGCACCAGGGAAGAATTCCTTAAGGAATTTTGAGCTGTGTTCACAAAAATTAGAAGGATATCTGTGGGAAGATGATGGACTGTGGAGGGAAGAGAATTCTAGGTAGAAGAGAGAGCATATATAAATATTATGAGGCAGCAGCAGAAATGGCAGTGACTTGGAAGGCGTGGTAGATGTTCTCAACTGGAAGAGAGGATGTGAGAAATAAAGTGGCTTAAGAAGAACCTGAAGAAGTAGGTAGGAGAGTGATCATGTCAAAACTTCTAGGTCATGCTAAGAAATTTGATCTTTACCAAAGAGCCGTTGACAGCTAATGAAGAGTTTAGAGTTGAATCACGATCTATTTCACATTTTGAAAAGGATATTCTGGTTCTCTGAGAAAAAAATAACTTGGAATGCAGGTAGAGGTGGAAGGTCAGTGGCATAAGAAGTCACAGAAAAAACAATTTGATGACTGTTGTATCAGCTCATGTTAGAGATGACAGTAGCTTGGAGCAGGTTAATAGGATTGTCATAGCGGAGAAGCAAACACAGTATATTATTGAGAGATATTTATAAAGTAAAAAATAGCAGGATGTGGCAAAGACAATTTGTAGAATTCTTACTTGTAGAACTGGATGGATGGTAGCATGTTTAAGGCAGCTGGGTAATGCAAAAAAGAGGAATGGCTTTATGAGGAGAGATCACAAAATGATTTAGAACATATTGAGTTTGAGGTGCCTTTAAGAAATCAAGTGTATTTTTCATGTCAGGAGTTTCAGGCTGTTGATATACCCTTGAGGATCATTGACAAATGCATGCTAAATTAAATGATGAATTATATTCCCAATGAGATGTTGTAGACTGAAAAGATTAGGAACCTTAAGACTAAGCCTGAAAGAAGCTAAATATCTGAGAGCTGGTACAAAATAATGAGCTGGCAAACGAGGTTAAAGAATAACCAGGAAAATAGGAAGATCAGCAGAGCAGGTCACTGTTGAAAAATCGAAGGAAAAGAATGTTTCAAGAATTGGAGAGATTGTATGTTCCAAACAGTGTTGAAAGTTGAAATTTGATGGGAATTCAAATTTCTCTGTTAGATTTTATGATACAGAGGTCACTGGGCATTGGTAAATGATGGAAGTGGAAAACACATGGAGAGATTAAGATAAAAGTGGGAAGTAAAATAATGTATAAGCAAACCTGTTATAAATTTGTCTGTGAAGAATAGGAGAGTGAAAAAGTGGAAGCTGTCAAGGAAAACGGGGGGTTCATGAAAAATATTTAAACTTTTATCTAACGAAGAAGGGTCGAGTATTTTTAAGTGGCAATTTGGAAGAGGTAGTTGAGATGACAGTCATAGCACAGGTTTCCAGAGAGCCAAAGTGAAGGGATTGGTCCAACCTGGGGAGGAATGTCTCCTCCATCCTAACAGATTGGCACAGAGAATGAGCTAGCGGATAGATGCAGATATCAGTGGGTGAGTGGGTTTGATAGAGAGAAGTTGAGGGTTTCTGAAAAAAGACTTCTATTCTCTCTCTTTATAAGCAGACCACTTATGAGCTGAGAGTGAAGTAGAGGCGGAGATGAAGGTTCTCATGATTATTTAAAATAGGGCAGAAGCTTGCAGAACTAGGGGAAGATTATCTCCAGTAGGATGTAGGACTCAGCTGCTAATTTTACTCAGAGGGGTTGGCCAGATAGGTGAAATGAAGCGACAGAGGAACAATAAATTTATTTTGTATTGGCAAAAACACATTTTGGTAAACATTTTTGCATACTTTCCAAATTTCTATGTGAAATAGTGTGTTTTTCCTATTTACAGATTTTATTATATATTATTTTAAGTTATGGGTTTTGAATAGGCGTTTAGTGAAAGTGAAAGTATTAGTCTCTCAGTTATCTCTGACTCTTTGCAACCCCGTGGACTGTAGCTCACCAGGCTCCTCTGTCCATGGGATTTTCCAGGCAATAATGCTGGAATGGGTTGCCATTCCCTTCTCCAGGGGATCTTCCTGACTCAGGGATTAAACCCAGGTATCTCGTATTGCAGGCAGATTCTTTACTCTCAGAGCCACAAGAGAAGTCTATTTTAAAAATTGTACATGAAGTCCTATATTATTACCTGTAACTAGTTTTAAGTCAAAACCACAAAATGAAATTCTGATCATCTATTTTTATACTTGTTTCCAAATTAAATATTTCATCCTATACTTATAGTTATCTTTGCCTTTGTATCTGACATAGATGTTAAATCTACTATAAAGCTAAGATCCGAGATAGTTTTATTTTAGAGGCTAAGAAACAGCACACGGTGTTAATGTTATAGTTTTTTTATATATGCAATTTTTTAAAAAAACAACCTGAGCAATACTGATTACAAATTTAGCAAATGATAAAAGAATGAGTGGCAGAAATTTGAAATTTCTGTTTTAGAATTGGAAGGGATTTATTAGGAAATTAAAAATCCCAGGGAATTTTTTAAGATGAAGGAAAACATGTTTCACAGAAATGTAAATATGGATGGAAATTCAAGTGGTAGATGGTTCTGGGTACTGGGTTTACTATGAACATCTTCTTGACAATAAGATGTTGGTGTGGATGTTGGTTGGTGGCCAGTCTCCACTAGAAGATATTCTAGAGGCAGAAAGCTGAGTTTCTTGAAATGCAGGCCCCAAATAAAGAAAGTCTAAGAGGGCTCCACATTTAGGACTCAACTTTAAATACATTTTTTCCTGATTTTTTTTCTTTTTAAAATGAGACTAGCCTGACACCATGATTTTATACAAATAAATTATATTCACCTGATTATCTACATTTAGCATAAAATTATTTGTAGTCATTAATGCCATGTCTTTCACAATATATGTCAATTTTTAAAGCTTTTGTTTTGTTTTGTTTTGATGTTACTAATTCAAGGTGAGTAGCATTTAGGGAAGTTTGTGGCTTTTTTTTTTTACACTTAAGTAATACTACTGTTTTAGCTTTCTTTTTCAACACTAATTGAATAAGCAATATAGATTGAGATTTTGTAGTTAAAGGATGCATTGTATTTTTTGAACATGTTAGACAAAGCCGATGCAAAAGACCTTGGAAAGAAGAGGAGTAAAGATGGAGAGAAGGAAAGAGAAAGGGAAAAATTCAAATGGTCAATACATGGTTCAAGACCCTCATCAGATGTACAATATTCTCTACAGTCTCTGTCAGATTGTAAGCTCTCAGTCTCCTAGAATAATAATTATTGTACATGTTTCCTAAAATGCTGGAGAACATTGGAGCACAGAAATGTTTATATTTGTGAGATTGCAAAACCTTTTTTTGAGTTTCTTTGTGAAAATGATGGTAACAATGCCTTTTTTCTACCAAACTCATAGTTAAGGTCAACCTCAAGAAACAGAATATAGTTCAAAGTTTGGACTGTGGACTAAAATTGCCTGGGTTCAGATCTCTGCTACATGAAAAATATGTATTGGAGAAGGAACAAATTTCCCTCTAGTCTCTCCAGGTTCTTCTAGCTGGTCTAAGAATCAAATTGATATGAGGCATATTCACAGAGGAAAAAAAATAATCATTATGTATTACTATGTGTGGGACCTTATAAGAAAAATAAGACCCAAAGACAGGTTAGGTAATTGAGGCTTATCTACCATGTGAGAGAAGGAGAAAGGGGGTAGGGGTTGTGACTTCAAATGGGAGGAAAACAATTCACTGGAGATGGGAAAACAGATGTTTGCGAAACGAATGTTTGCTCTGCCAGGCAGAGGCAGCAGAATACAGAGAGGACTCGGGTCTCCAGGCCACGCCTGGCCCACATTCTTATAGCCTCTCTGGTGACAGTGCTCTGCCTGAACCAGGCCTTTTATTTAAGTTCTTTTAGACAGTTATGAGGGGTGGTAAAAAGAAAGAATTCCTGGGTTCTCTGTTCTTAAAAAGCATCAGGCTAAAATAATCCTCCTGCCAAGGAGGTACATTTTGGGGTGACAAATTCTGCTCCCCTACATATACAAAGCTTCTTTTTAAACGTGAAAGCGTATTTTTATAAGTTTGGCATATTTCACATCCTAATCCACTCTGGAGTGAGCCAGGGCTCACATCTAATTTACATAATGTGGCTTTACAGATATTATTCTTCAATAAATATTACCTAGTGCAGTTATATATGACTGCTTGAACTTTAAAGGAATAAAACAAAACTTTTCAATTAAAAATAAAAACAAGAGGAAAGTAAATTCTGTTGTTTTGACCAAAATCTTTAAAGGACAAAAACACCATGAATCAAATGTAGTAATTTCAGGGATATTAGGGAATAAATGTTGATTCTCAGAAGCAAATCTACAAGCATTATACATTTCAAACTAAATTACCTTCTTAGTTTCCCTTTCTCATGAGAGGATTAATTTGTGCTTTCTTTCTCCTTGAAATGACATAGAAATTCCCAGACTTCTTTAAATTCAAATTAAAGATTCTATGAAAGTTAAGTTACATAGGCTGATAGCTAGAGTGAGTTTATGTAATAACTTTTTTACATTGAAGTAAAATGATTTCTTAATGAATTATATGGTACTATTATGAAAGTAAAACTAATGAGACATTCTATACAATAGATGTACATTTGAGAGTTAACATTTTTTAAATGCTTGTAAAGTTGTTTACTTATTTTTCATCAGCAAAGATAAGTTCATTAAGAAATTTGAATGGTCTACCATGACCCACATTTTGGCTAGAATTTCCATGACACAATATGTGTTTGGATTTACAGGTTCTTCAGCAATGCAGTCCCCTCAGATGGTAGTATATGCAACCTTTACACCTCTGTATTTGTTTGAAAAGAAGATATTTTTATTAGAGAAGATGGTAAGCACTCAAGGCCAAGAAACTCGGTATAATTTATGGTGTTTGTGTCTGTCTGTGGTCATTTGTTGTAGTAAAGTGTTATTTTTTTCGTCTCCAAGTCATGTCTGACTCTTTGCGACCCCATGGAATGCAGCAAGCCAGTCCTCCACTGTCTCCTAGAGTTTGCTCAATTCATGTCCACTGAGTCTGAGATGCCATCCAACCGTCTCATCCTCTGCTACCCCCTTCTCCTTTTGCCTTCAGTGTTTCCCAGCATCAGGGCCTTTGCAGTGAGTTGGCTTACTGTTAAAAAATTGAATGGAAATTTGGTTGAAATGTAAATACACCAATTGTATGATTACTGCACTTATTTGTCTTCTTGATGATTTGACCAAAGAGCGTAAATATTATCATTTCTTCTTCCTTTTCTTTCCTTCCTCTTGCCTCCACCTTATCCTTCTCTTTTTTAGATAGGAAACATTCCTTACTGCTAAAGTCTGCAATGTAACAAGGGTAATATTGTCAAGACAATCAGACATAATGTGCTATTATGAATGTAGAGAAAAGTGCAGTTCCTCTGTTTTTAATTAAAAGCTATTCAAGTTTAGCCATGGTTAAATCCAAGTGTGCTTCTCAGCCCCCTCCCCCCAACTTAAGTCTCTTTTTAGGATGGCTGCATCAGCCCTGATTTTATTTTTTTCTTAATCTTACTACCTGACATTGGCTATTGCCTTAGCTATTCCAGAGAAATGAAACCCTCTAATACTGTGGACTACAAAAGACCATGAGCCATGCTTTCTGGAGTGTTCCATGGGAAGTACTTAAATATTTTTTAAAGTTGAAAAACAAAAAGATAAGATTTACATCTTCATTATACAAAAAAGAAGGCACAGAAAAATTCACTTGAAGTTTTGTCTGTCCTACTGAAAAACTGGTAAACAAAAAAATTTTTAATTTAAAAAGCACCCCCAAAAAGTACATGTTTATTCATTAGTTCATCAGATGTTAATTAATTATTCTTTGTTAAACAACTAGCTGGAATCTGAGGAAGACACCATGTTGAGTGTGGTTAATAAGGACTCTCCTCACTAAGTTTAGAGTTGATGAGAAAAGCAAACAAGCAAACAGTAAAAAAGTTAGAATATTGGCATAATAGAAGTTGCTTGGAATATGGTAGATGTAGCATTTAAATAATTGAATGTGCATTGAATGAGTAACCAAATAAATGAGTTAATGAAGGAGTGAAAAAAATGTATATGAAACACATAGCATAGACACATCTTTCTGTCTAGTGGGTGACTAGGGAAATCACTGCAGATGGTGACTGCAGCCATGAAATTATAAAACGTTTGCTCCTTGGAAGAAAAGCTATGACAAACCTAGGCAGCACATTAAAGAGCAGAGACATTACTTTGTTGACAAAGGTTCATCTAGTCAAAGCTATCATTTTTCCAGTAGTCATGTACAGATGTGAGAGTTGGATCATAAAGAAAGCTGAGCACCAAATAATTGATGCTTTTGAACTGTGGTGTTGGCGAAGACTGCAAGGAGATCAAACCAGTCAGCCCTAAAGGAGATCAGTCCTGGGTGTTCATTGGACTGATGCTGAAGCTGAAACTCCAATACTTTGTCCACCTGATGCGAAGAACTGACTCATTGGAAAAGACCCTAATGCTGGGAAAGATTGAAGGCAGGAGGAGAAGGGGACAACAGAGAATGAGATGGTTGGATGGCATCACAGACTCTGTGGACATGGGTTTGAGCAAGTGCCCGAAGCTGGTGATGGACAGGGAAGCCTGGTGTGCTGCAGTCCATGGGGTCGCAGACTTGGACATGACTGAGCGGCCGAACTGAACTGAGGGAAGTCTTCCCAAAGGAAAAAAAAGAAAACTGTTTAAGCAGTGGCTTTAAGTTAGCCTGGAAAGTAGGAAAACGCATATGCGTGAAGCAGAAGGAAGCTTATGTTGGAAAGTTTGGAGGGGAAGGATAACCCACTGGGTTCGAGGGACTACTAGAGTTTGAACAGACTGCAAAAGAAGTTTTAGAGGCAGTGCCAGGTGGGGGAGGGAGCCTGGACATGCAGGGTGTTATAAATCCTCCCCGTGGGGGTTGGAGTATCTTACAGGGCCCAGTGGTTCAGGAATTGGCCCAGTGTCTGTAACAGTAATGAAATGAGCTTCCAAGCTGTAATGAGCTGCCTCCAACATTACAGTCTCCTGCTGATTCTTTTACATTAGCTATTAGGATAAGCAGGGTCTCTTGGTAGAAATCCAAATATAAAGATGATATCATGTTTTGAAGACAAATCTACAGAAGAAAATTTTTTCTAATGGAATTTTATTAAATGGAGTACATAGCAAAAAATTCTCACCCCAAAGACAACAAGACCAACATGCAGAATAAAATCAACACTTTACCTTTATGTGAGGAACTGGCAGAGAATGCCAGAAAACAAAGCAAAACTTGGAAAGAGACTGTCACAAATTACCCTACCTATCCCCCCATCTCGTTACTTCTGGGTCTTCTAAATTTTAGTTTTGTTTATTTATTATTTTTGTTTTATTTAAATGGGTTAACTGGGAGTTCTAAAAAAGCCTCATCTACCTTCTCAAACCCTTACTTTAGGATATCTGAGGTGGAATGAGTAAGGGAATGAAAGGGTGTTATGGACAAGGAAACTTCTGGTTTGTCTTACGTTTGGGCTTCCCTGTGACTCAGTGGTAAAGAATCTGCCTGCAGGTGCAGGAGATGCGGGTTCAATCCCTGGGTCAGGAAGATTCCCCTGGAAAAGGAAATGGCAACCCATTCCAGTACTCTTGCCTGGGAAATCCCACGGACAGAGGAACCTGGCAGGTTACAGTACATGGGGTTGCAAAAAGCCAGATACAACTTAGTGATTAAACAGCAACAAAAATATGAATTATTCAAAAATATTTCCCAAAGAGGCCTATTAAGTATTTCACTAGAATGTTTCACTATTTTAAATTACTCTCTGTCCCTAATTCTGATATAAGGAAATTTGGGACCCTTGAAAAAAAGTTTTTTAATTATCAAACTATGACAATTATTAAGCATTACTTTACCTTATTCAGAAGTATTGTGTAGCATGTTGAAAATAAAATGAAGTATGAGAAACTGGGTTACATACTTTATGTAAAGCTAATACTTCTGTGAATTATTTAAATAATACAATAGATGAAAATACCATACATAATTATTTAATACTATATCTTACATTTTCTGAATGCATTGAATAGTTTTGTTTTCTGGTGTTCCACTGCTCAAAAGAGAAAACAAATGGACTACAATTTTGGTTGCAATTATAAGAAGGAACTGAGATATGTAGAGCAAACGTATGAACTATCCAGAAATTATTCAACTTATAAATACTACTTAGGGCTTCCCCAGTGGCTCAGTGGGTAAAGAATCTGCCTGCAATTCAGGAGGTACAAGAGATGCCGGTTCAATCCCTGGGTCATGAAGACCCCCTGGAGGGGGAAATGGCAACCCACTCCAGTATTCTTGCCTGGGAAATTCAATGGACAGAGGAACCTGGCAGGCTACAGTCCAAAGGGTCACAAAGAGTTGACCTTGAATTATTAAAGCATAATTTCAGCGGTTTCTGGATTTTTTCAATGAATTGCCAACATATAGATGGGATAAAAGGGGCATGACAATTTCCTCTCCTTAAATTAGTGCTTTTTTTAAAAAAAATTTAAAACATTGAAGCGACTTTTCTCTTTATTCCATATATTTATAATGATTTTAAGTGACTCTACTGAACTTAATAATACATGTTCCAGCTGAGGCAATAATTTCCAATAGGCTAGTAGGTGAGCTTCTGATCCTAATTCAAATGACTACTTTGCAAATTTTCATTTTCAAGCATTGCTATTTGTATAGAAATCAATGATAGAAAATCACTAAGAAGAAAAACAGTTATTGGCAAAACTGACTGTAATGTAGTTAACGTTTTATTTTACTTTAAATGTGTCAGCGTTTAGACCATGAATGTCAGAATTTGACTACAGGGTATGTTACTTTAACCTTCACATATCTTTTGACTTCTTATGGCATCTTTCAGCCATAAGTCAGTAGCTGAATTTCTACAATGACTTGAATTTCTTCCAGTGACTTGATTTGGATTTGCCTGGACCATCTGCCCTTCTGTGAATGCCTCCTTTGTCAGGAGTGATCATGGGGATTTTGTGTAGGGAAGCCCTGAGGACATAAACTATAGACAAGGCAACTGCTTACCCTTATGGACCCAACACACTAAGGGCAGTGGGGTTTTTTGAAAACCATCAAGCAATTTCTGGTGCTTAATTAAAAAAAAAAAACTGACAAAGACTTTATATGTTAAGTACTTGTATCAAATCTTTAACCTTTAAAGAAAGTGTTAGTCGCTCAGTTGTGTCCAACTCTTTGTCACCCCATATGGACTGTAGCCCACCAGGCTCCTCTATCCATAGAATTTTCCAGGCAAGAATACTGGAATGGGTAGCCATTTCCTTCTCCAGGGGATCTTCCCAACTCAGGGATTGAACCTGGATCTCTTACATTACAGGCAGATTCTTTACCATCTGAGACTCCAGGGATGCCCAGCAAAAGTAATAGTTGATTAGTTTTGGACCAAAACTGATATTCTGAGACTTCTGCAATGTCATAGAATCTTAAAATCTTAGAGCTGAAAACTGACTTCTAGTTCTAGTCCCTCATTTTGTAAATAAAGAAAGGAGCCTCAGATACCCTAAAAGATTGAAAGAAATACAGAGAGTAATAGTGTTTACACTATGTGTGTGTGTTAGTAATTTAGTTGTGTCTGACTCTTTGCAACTCCATGGACTGTAGCCCGCCAGGCTCCTCTGTCCATGGGATTCTCCAGGCAAGAATTCTGGAGTGGATTGCCATTTCCTTCTCCAGGGCACTTTCTTGACCCAGGGAGTGAAGCTGGATCTCCTACATTGCAGGCAGATTCTCTACCATCTGAGCTACCAGGGAAGCCCTAGTACTTACGCTAAAGCATGCAGAAATATTACCACTATATCTCTCTAGAATAGTGGTGATAATATTTCTATAATGATGAAAAGTGTTATCTTAAATGCATAAAGCAAATACAAGAATCCTTTTAACCCTGCCTTCCACTTTTTAGGCTGATTCTGCTGAGAAGCTTAGAGAATATGGGCTTTCCCATATCTGTAGCCATCCTGTGCTGGTCACAAGAACTCGATCCTGCCCCCTCATAGCGCCGCCAAAACCACCTCCGGTACCTCCCTGGAAACTCTTTCGTCAAAAAAAAGAAGCTGTTATAACAGATGAAGCCCAAGGTATGGTTCATATTGTCCAAAAATCCAATCAACATTTCTCTCTGTGAAGTTCTAATAGTTCTATTTGTAATGCGAGAGATACATCAAGAAAACAATCCAACCATACACTTAAAACCTTCATCTAATTTTATGTCTGAAAGGATGACTTCTGGTTAGTTTGGTGTTCACATCTAACCTGACCAGATAAATAAAAGCTATTCTTTGGGTGACGGCACTATGATTATAACTGTGATGGAAAGTGGTTTGGAGCAAATAATACAGAAAGTTAAATAGCGTATATGTTAACCCACTGGTGTGAGTTTCAAACATGGGGATCATTCTGTGGTGCCCAGTAGGACATCATCTTTGAATTGACTGAATTCTATTTGAAACTGCTATAGGAGGAGGACTTCTGCCTGGGCTGGCTCCTGTCAATATTGTCCTGTAGCCAATGAATGGCAACTGTGCTCGGAAATACATAGGTTCACACAGGCTGAGAATATGCTAAGGAGTCTGATCCCACCTGGTTCTTATTCTTGCCTTTTATTTCTAAATTCCTTATAATCCAAGTCTAATTTTTTATTCCTTTAACCATTTCTCTATGTCTTCACTTACACTCCTTCTGTGAGCACCATGTTTGAATGGAAGGGAGACCAACATGGCGTGAGAAGAAATGAGCAAGACCATAAATGAAAAATCATGAGCAGAGGGGATTAGAAAGCAAAACCTAAAACTTAAAAAGTTATGGCCTAACGGAATAGCTCAGTTTGTTTATGTTGATTCAAAGTAAGCATATGGCCTTTCTGTAGCTAATTTACACTTTCAGCTTTTAGTGAAAGCTGATAAAGAATCGGAGTGCTGTGGTTTATATATGTATATGTGTGTGTGTATGTGCATATATAATATATATATATTTCCTATTCCAAAAAGCTTAAATTATCTTTTTTGTTATCTCTTTTTGTGTTCATTCCCTTGCTTTCTCATTTTCTTCCTTTTTCTTTTCCAGTACCTCATTATCTTCTAATTGTATTCATCTAGTAACAGGTCATCACATTCTAGAAGTTATTGCAGTAGGCCTGTCCTTGAATGAACAATGAAAACAAAGGCACAGTGAACATACCTAGTGTCGTTTACTAAAGGCATCCCTAAGAAGCATGTAAATAAACTTTAAGTGGTTGGTCCCATGAACCATGTCTTATACTCTTAATGATGGTGCTTGCTGTGTTCCTGCTACCAATTCAAGTACTGCTGATCCTTCAGTGCATGGGACAAAAGAACTGTATCTCAGCCACAGAATAATACATAAGTCTCAGTGGTACTCAGGATCCTAAAACTACAATAGCTACAGAGATTGGAGTATTTACCTGTTCCTTGCCTCCTACTTCCAACCATAATTTACATGTTTTTAAGACATAAATCACAACTGTTAACCATGTAATTTTCCTCACATTTGCTTTCTGCCTACGTTGATACAACCCATACAGCTGGTGGCAAAAATTTTCTAGCACAACATGTTTTATCCTTGCCAGAAAAGAACAAAGATTAAAGAAATATCTGGCTTAGATGTAAAGGAGAAACGGTCAGCTCATTTTTTTTTATTTTAAACTAGCCTTGTCTGCCTCTCTCCCACCTGCTTCTATTATTTCAGCTATTTCCTTACATTCCTTGCATTTCTGCAACAGGCTGTTGATGCCACTCCGGTGCCAACTGTTGATTTTGATTCCAGGAACTTTCCAGCTTTCCTCCCTCTCTCCTCCCTGTCCACTTTCGTTTTTCCAAAGATCAGAATTCACACGATGCTTGAGAGAAAAAAATCTTGGTATATTTTAATTTAATTAAAAGCTATATTTTAATTAAACGCATAGGTTGTTGTGCTCCGTTGTGCCTTACTCTTTGTGACCCCATGGACTGTAGCCCGCCAGGCTCCTCTGTCCACGGGAGTTTCCCAGCAAGAATGTTGGCGTGAGTTGCCAATTCCTCCTCCAGGGGATTTTCTTGACTCAGGGATCAAAACTGTCTCCTGCATCTCCTCCAACGGCAGGTGGATTCTTTACCACTGGGAAAGAATTCTTTACCACCTGGGAAGCCCTAAATGCATAGAGCCACACTTAAAACAGTTCTTCTTTCAGAACATCAGAAAGAGATGAAGGAAAGGAAAAATATTAAACATACAGCTATTTTCTGATTTTGATACTGACTATTGCATAACTCTGTGTCTCTGTTGTAAGCTATAGAAGAAAACCTCAGGCTTGATGGGATTCCAGAACTGAGATCTTCCACTTAAAGGCTTACCACATCGCTGTTTTTCCTCTCTCTACTGGGTGTAGTATTTCAAGTGAAAATTAACAGGGAACAGAGAAAGAGATCAATTTAGAGATGATCACAGAACAAGCACAGAAAAGTTATATGCACTGTGTCACATTCTCATTTCTTTTCATCCTGTGGGCATCTTTTCCACTGCTATAGGAGCTTTTGTTAAGATAATCATGCCTAATGTTTAATTCAGTGTTCAGCATATTAGTGCATGGGCTGTGTGCCTTAGTCATTGAGAATTTACTTCTGTGTCAGCTTCAGACACCTTTAGGAATACCCATAACTTCTTTCTTGACCTATTGCTTTCTTTTCTACTTCTGACATTAACTTGTTACATTTTCTGTTCTACTACTACTAACTTCATGTATTTAGCCCACTTTTTTTTTCATGTCTTGAGCAATTGTGTTGTTAGAGGTTAACCAAAAGAAAACGTTTTTTAGTAAAAGGCTTTTATAGAAAGTCTTTCATGTACTTGAAATAGCAGCAAATGCCAAGTACAGTAATAACTCTAGAAGACATGGCTGACTTTCTCCCTTGAGTTTTCATTGTTTTTCATGTTGTAAATCTGGAAAGCAACTGAAGGAAGTCTAAAGAAATCTCAAATTGGCAGGATCTATAAAGCTTTTTTAGTACAAAACTTTATGTATCACATACATTTCTATTTAAGTCTATTGAAATTTGCTGAGTAAATAGATAATCTAATCAGTATTGCATTAAATGTTAAATTCTACATATAATGTTTGAATATTTCTTTTAACAAGTGTAGAACACTACCTTTCTCTTTTTAGAAATAGTAATAAAGAAGCCTGACCAATTTCTTGAGATTTCAAGTCCATTTTTGAATTATAGAATGACTCCATTTACAATTCCGACAGAAACGTAAGTATTTAACAGTCTTTCCCATGAATACCTCCTGTTAACAGATGAAGTATTCTGTGATTAGTGTAGTTAAAAATGTATGGTTTGGTGGCAAATGTATTAAAGTTTGTATAAATGCAGTGATTATAGGAAAACAAAAATTTAGGTTCTATTTCACAGTTAATAAACATTTAAGATAAAATTTGAATTGGTTAAAATAAGGCCTAAATATGTAAGGCTTTACAGCTTTGGTTTCTGTTTGAGAACAACACAGTATTTTGTTTTACTTTAAACATTACCACTGGGAAATACTTTTGATTATTACCTGGTAAATTAAACCACAAGATCAAATTGTCATAAATACCTGGAAGATGAAGTCTGTCACTCTTAGAAGGAAACAAACAAACAAAAAGAGCTAACTAAATATAACAGCAAAGACAATGAAGAAGGAAAAGAAAGAAGGAAAGGAAGAATTCAAATTTACTAATATTTGAATGTGACAATAGGGATAGAAATAAAACCTATGATCCTGGGGGTCTAATGTTTTTAATGAGTTCATGTTTATGTTCTCAGTCACTCAGTTGTGTCTGACTCTTAGTGAACCTGTGAACTTCAGCCTGCCAGGCTCCTCTGTCCTAGGAATTTTCCAGGCAAGAATACTGGAGCTGGAGCAGGTTGCCATTTCCTAGTCCAGAGGCTCTTCTCCACCCAGGGATTGAATCTGCATCTCTTGCATCTTCTGAATTGGCAGGCAGAGTCTTTATCACTAGTGCCACCTGGGAAGGTCATTGTGGTGAAAATGAAGTCTACAGATAGCAGAAATGAAAAGGAGTAGTGGGTGGTATGATTTTACCATTAAAAGTGTGGTGATTTGTTATGAAGCAATTGGTAACTAACACATGGATATTTACATATATCAAAGATTATCAAACTTATTCTTTGTGCAGCTAACTGTACTTCAATAATCCCTCAATAAAGGTGTAAAAAATAAAAATAAATAATATTCAATAGTATGTAAAATGGTTTAAAAAATGGGATTCTAGAACCAAGGAAGACAAAATAACTGATATTTAGAGTTCAATGGATGTGTTTAATCACAGATTAGGTAAAACAAAGAAAAAGACAAGTTGAAAAATGAAAAACAGGTCAAAAGACAATATCCAGACTGATGTTCGGAGACTAAAACCAAAAAGAAAAAAATGAAGGAAAGTATAGTAAAAGACTTATAAGACAAGTTGATAAAGATCAACGTACTTGTATATGGGTCCTAGAAGTACAGGATAAAGTTTGGGGAATAATCACGAAATAAAAATATAATGGGAAAATTATCCCGAAAGTTAAAGAAAAATAATCGAGATTCAGGAATGTCTAATAAAACTCATATAATGTAAATACAGAGAAAACTGCAGCTGGATATCATAGTAAAACCTAAGACATATAATATGATAATACATAGATATAAAAGTGAAAGAAATACTGCAACAAAAATCAGCATGGATAAATGTCACATACAAAAATATTAGACCAAAGAAATCTGGTACAAAATGTATATGGTCTATTTAAAATTATTTTACTAATACAGATATTAAAAAGAAAAACAAAGCAATATATGGTGCTGGAAATCAATAGTCAGGAAGTTACCTGTGGGGAGCAGGGTTGGCTGTGATGGGCAAGGACACCTGGCAGGATTTCTGGGGCCTGACAATATCTCTCGATCTGAATAATGGTGATATGGCCATGTTTACTTGGTAGGTTTTCATCAAGTTTTACATTTATGATGTGTGTACTTTTTCTAATTTTTTAAACCATTAAAATTTTTGAATGGCTTATATATATATATACAAAGGGCTTATATATGTCATGAATACAATTACCACTAGATATGGTTTATCCTTCCCTTGGATATATTAAAATCCATGATGAGTATAAACTGATGAATAAAAGCAGTCAGAATTTAGATTAGAAGTCTATTTATTGTATTTTCCTGCTTCTAGAGACTGTTTGCATCATAGCCAGTTAATCTACAATTTCTTGATTCTAGTTAAGTTGAAAATATTAGACATATTATTGAAATCTTTTACTTGTAAGGCTCCTGCAGTTCTGTGCCATCAGTGATTAAACACTGAAAAGTGAGTGAGGAGGGACTGCTAGGCTGCAAAGTAGACGTAGTTAGCCTTGTGAAGCTTATAAACAGAAAAATGAATTTGCTGCTACTTTGGTTTGAAAGATTTGTTCTGTTATATATTTGCAAATCTAGTTTTCCTCAAACTTTCATTTTAACTTATAAAAAATCTTATAAATAAGTTATTAATTTCTATAAAAGTTTTAAATAAGTTTTAAAAGTTAGCTGAATTTATTTAAACATTTTAAATTGCATTTACAACAGTGGCATATTTTATTTTTCTTTAAGTACTTTAATAGCTAAAAAGAATAATAAACTCTTACCAATTATATGAAAAAGAAGAAAATGTTAGTCACTCGGTCATATTCCACTCTTCGCGACCCCATGGACTATAGTCTGCCAGACCCCCTCTGTTCATGGAGTGCTCCAAGAAAGAATACTTCCCGACCCAGGGATTGAATTCAGGTCTCCCTCATTGCAGGCAGATTCCTTACTGTCTGAACCACCAGGGAAATCCTACCAATTAAATAATCATCATTAAAAATACAAATAATCAAAATGACGTTTCTGGGGAACCTTGATTTTTCCTGTGCATAAGAATTGATGCTTTTGAACTGTGATGTTGGAGAAGACTCTTGAGAGTCCCTTGGACTCCAAGGAGATCCAACCAGTCCATCCTAAAGGAGATCAGTCCTGGGTGTTCATTGGAAGGACTGATGTTGAAGCTGAAACTCCAATACTTTACCACCTGATGCAAAGAGCTGACTCATTTGAAAAGACCCTGATGCTGGGAAAGATTGAAAGCAGAAGGAGAAGGGGATGACAGAGGATGAGATGGTTGGATGGCATCACCAACTCGATGGACATGAGCTTGGGTAAACTCCAGGAGCTGGTGATGGACAGGGAGGCCTGGCATGCTGCGGTCCATGGGGTCACAAAGAGTCAGACATGACTGAGCAACTGAACTGAACTATTAGATTTTACAAACCAAAAATTCTCTTATACCTATAACTCTCAGTCATGTCTGACCTTTTGCAATCCCATGGACTGTATCCCACCAGGCTCCTCTGTCCACAGGATTCTCCAGGCAAGAATACTGGAGTGGGTAGCCATTCCCTTCTCCACAGGACCTTCCTGACCCAAGGGTCGAACCTGAGTCTCCTGCATCGCAGGTGGATTCTTTACTGCTGAACCACCAGGGAAGCCTCCATAACTTCATTACAAACCTAAAATTAAATATAAAGCTATATTTTATGGCCTGATTTGTTAGATTATGCAACATCCTACATTTTTTCATCTCTTGCAAACACAAAATACCACGTAGAGACAGAATTTTCTTAAACACAAAAATAGTAAACCTTGTAATCTTTCTACTTAATTTTATAGTTAGTGTTACCCACTAAGATGATAATTTTATCATTCAAAATAGTTTTGATTATCTGTTAGCTCATTGAGATTGCATACTACTCAAATATTTTGTGGATTGCATGAACCGGAGTTGCAGACCACCAGGACTAATTTTTTCAGGATTCAAAGTTTCACACACGGACGTCTACAATCTCTATGCTAAGAGGGACCACAAAAGGATTGGTTTCATAACATAAGCTTCCCATGTGACTCGTTTACTTGATTTTCTTATTCCTTCTGTTTTTTTACCTGATTAAAGTGGATGAAATTCTGTAACCCAGGTCTAGGTGACTTCAACACTTGATTGGATTCAGTTAACATATTCACTGATTAGAACCTGTTACCGATTTCCTTGTATATCCATTTTACCTGGCCTAGACAAAAGCAAAAATATGTGTGAATGGCATTTCATCCTACCTGACTGCTAGTCAGAGTTCTCAGGTCAGCAGAAGAGAAAGCTGGTCGGCTGGGCTGCTTTTGATGAGCCCTGGAGTGTGACCGCTACACAGCTCCTTTTCCCTGGAACATTGTCATTGTAGCAACCTGAGGCCTGGTCTGCCTGTTCCTGGCTCCTAGCTGCAAGAATCAGAGCATCACAGGTGTTTGTGCTGCCCTCTAGTGGCAGTTTCAGGTAGATCTGAGACAAAAGCTAAAGCTTGAGGTACCGCAAGCTTTACCAAACACTAGCAAGGAAAAATCCAAAAGCAAAGGAAGTTCTATATACATGAAAATTAATTTTATCTTTGAAACACACATACCTAAAATATTTGTACTATAACAAATAGATTTCTGTTGTTGTTGTCCAGTTGCTAAGCCATGTCCACCTCCGCAACCTGATGGACTGCAGCACACCGTCCATCACCATCTCCCAGAGTTTGCTCAAGTTCATGTTCATTGAACCAGTGATGCTACAATATTGTACCCATTAACTTCTAGCCTTGGCAGTGTTCATTTGGGGGTCATGTCAGTAATAACCTGAAAGAAAATGCTGTGTACTTGGGTAGCTTCTATAAATATCACACACCCATAATTAAATGTTTTACTCCAATTCCTATTTCACTGATACACTGCTTTGCTACTTAATTAAATCAATTCCAAATGTAAGATTCCTGTGTGTTCTGATCATCAACAAAGATGACCGCCATAACTTTAAAATAAACCGTATTCCAGAAAAGTTTTACAATGTTGCAGTGACTGGCAGAGACTAGTGCTTCAGGAGTATAGAAAGAAATTACATGTTTTTAACACAAAGCAAAAAAAAAAAATACTGTTGGTTGTGGAAGAAGGAGATTGATAAAATGAACAAAGTCAGGACTTTCTATTGTTGACAAAACATTAATACAAAGGGATATTATTCAATTATTAAGAAAAGAAGGAAATCTTGCTATTTGTGACAACATAGATGAATCTTTAGGACATCGTGTCAAGTGAAATTAGGCAGACGAGGAAGACAAATACCATATATGTGGTATATGTGGTGTTAAATGTGGTGTCTAAGCAAATAAACAAACTTGTAGATACAGGAGAACAGACTAGTGGCTGCCGGAGGCAGGGGGTCAGGGTGGATGAAATGGGTGAAGGAAATCAAAAGATACAAACTTCCAGTTATAAAATAAATAAGTCCTGGGAATGCAATGTGTAGCATGGTAACTATAGTTAATAATGATGGTGCTTTAGTCGCTAAGTCATGTCTGACTCTTGCAACCCCTTGGAGCCTTCCAGGCTCCTCTGTCCATGGGATTTTCCAGGCAAGAATATTGGAGGGGGTTGCCATTTCCTCCTCCAGGGGATCTTCCCAACCCAGGGATTGAACCCATGGCTCCTGCATCGACCCAGGTGGACTCTACCGCTGAGTCACCAGGGAAGCCATAGTTAATAATGCTGTTATATATGTGAAAATTACTAAGAGAATAGGCCTTAAAAGTTCTTATAACAAGGGGAAAAAATTGTAACTACGTGTGGTGATGTACATTTCTTAGAGTTGTGATTACCATTTTGCTATGTATACAAATACTGATTGTTATGTTTTATACCTGAAACTAATCATAATGTTGTATATCACTTATATCTCAATAAAAACTTCAGTTATTTATTGGTAGCTTTAAACAAGAGATTAAGATTAACAGAAATTGTTCTTTTTTTTTTTTTCCCCCGTTAGTCATTTTGTACGATCTTTTATTAAGAAAGGGCTGGTTCCAGGATCCGGTTTATCTTCCCTTACTGAAAATGATGAAACTGCAGCCTTTAGCCAGATAGACTTAAACCAACTGACAAAAAATATGTCTCAGGTAACTATGTTACTCTTATTATTAGCTCAGTTCTTAACTATGAAAGTTTTTTTTTCCCCCTTAAACTGTGAAATATATTGTACATAAATGCATTTGAGCACAATAACTAATACTGAAAATAAGCTTCTTATGTACCCATTTCACAGTACCCCACACAGGTACCCCTCTGCTCCTCCCACAATAATCAGGAAACCATGTGTCCCAGAGGCAGCGCTACAAAATACAAGGGTTTGTATTGGTATGTCTGAGCTGGGAAAGGAACCCTTCAAATGGGGTCCCCCCAAATGAACTGAATCTGAGAGAGACATTTACCCCTATGTGTTAAAGCCACTGAGATTTCGGGAATGGTTTGTTATCACAGACTAGCTCAGCCTTATATGGTTCATGTTTTTAAACAGCAAAACTGCCTTACCTTTGCCTCTTAAAATAGATACAAATGATAGGGAAAACAGGGCTGTTTTCAGATATTCCCTAGGAATGAAGATTTAGCACAAGTCAGGAATTAATTATTTACCTGTTTCTTCTTCCACCTTCATCATTACTTCCAGCTGTAATGGAAGAAAGATGATAAGGGATAAAAATATTCATCCTTTAAAAATATTCTAGCTGAAAGGATTGGATATTTTTTCTTACACAACTTTTTGTACAACTAATTGCTTCTTTTTTTTTTTTCTTTGCTTGCTTATTTTTTCTATGACACATTAGGAAACTGTCCCAAATGATTTTTTTTTTTAAGAAACGCCATTAAACAAACACCCTCTGAACACCTTCACCACACGAACATGTGAGATTACTCTATCAATGCCGACAATTTTCCTGGAGACATCATCCCTGGGATCCTTTCCTCTCTTGCTCTTGCTAAACTGATAGAAACCTGCAACTGTCATCACGGAACTTTCTCTTTTCTCTCTCCTCTGATGGATTTTCTAATTTTTGGAAACTATGCTGTCCTCGTACTTTATGCTCTAATTTCGATGGCACACATCTTCTAATACTCCATGAGAAAAAAATGCATGGAAAGTGAAGATTATGAGAGCAAGAAGTTCTTTTTATATTCTTGATGTTAACCCTTTATTATACATATGATTTGCAAATAATTTCTCTCATCCCATAGGCTGCATTTTCGCTGTTGATGATCTCTTTTTGAATGACAGATTTTTTTCTTCGTCGTCTTTCTTTTTTTTTTTTTTGTTTTTTTTTTTTTTGTTCTCTCTTCTAAGCCAGTGTTGTTGTTGTCACGCTGTTCTTCTCTTTTTTTTTTTTAAGTTTTTTTTGGTTTTTTTGTCTTTTTGTTTTTTTTTAATCTCCTTTTTATTTTCACTTTTTGTTTTGTTTTTTTTTCTTTTTTCTTTTTTTGTTTTCTGAGCTCTCTCTTTTTTTTGTTGTGTTTTTTTATAGGTTTTTCCTTTTTTATATGTGTCTCTTTTTTTCTTTTTGTTATTATTCTCTTTTTTAATGTGTCTCTCTATTTTCTTTTTTGTTTTTTCTGTGTATCTCTGTGCCCATCTCTTTTTTTTTTTTTTTTTTATGTGGGTCTTTTTTCTCTTTTGTGTGGGTGTTTTTTTTTATACATATATGGGGTTTTTGTGATTTTAGGGGTGTTGTTTTGGAGGAGGTTTTTTGGCTTGGTTGGGGTTTGTCAGCTGGTAGCTTTAATTTGAGATAATTGGGGATAAATGAGCTTCATTTGGGGGTGGGACTGACTCCAAATATGAGATTCCCTGAGGTTTTCCTCCAGCTCTGTTCAGTTTCTTAGGTTAAGGGTTCTCTAATCTCCCTGCTGGGGTGGAATGTGGTGGTAAGGATTGTCATATTCTTATCCGCCAGAGTTATTAAAGCCAAGCAGCAGAGTTCCTGAGAGTCTCAAAGTTCATCATGTGGATGTTCACTTAATTCCTCTCCTCTCTTTGTAGTAGCCTTTCTTGATTCCCACTCTGTCTGTGAACCCAGATCTGGTGATTTTTCATTTAATTTCTCCACTTGACTCAAGTTCCAGTGTCCTATTTAGGCTGAAGAAGGATAGATGCTAAACCAGAAGGGATTAGGGAGAAGTGGGGACTTGTCTGTCCCTTATATAGACATTCAACCCACCCCTGTATTTTCAGCCTGTATCTCATTTCCTCCTTTTCAGTTCAGTTTAGTCACTCTGTTATGTCCAACTCTTTGCGACCCCATGGACTGCAGCATGCCAGGCTTCCCTGTCCATCACCAACTCCTGGAGCTTACTCAAACTCATATCCGTCAAGTCGGTGATGCCATCCAACCATCTCATCCTCTGTTGTCCCCTTCTCCTCCCACCTTCAATCTTTCCCATCATCAGGGTCTTTTCGAATGATTCAGTTCTTCGTGTCACGTGGCCAAAGTACTGGAGTATTCTCCTTCTCAGATGCCTTGTTTCTGGGCTTCTAAGGCTTGGATGGGCCTGCTTCTCACTAACACTTCATATTCAGTTATCTCTACTCTGTTGTCTTCTCCACCCCACTTTACATCGTCCAAAATATTGTTAACATCACCCATCACTAGACTGTATAAATTTATACAATTTTATCTTTTAAATTATTTTAATTGTATTCCAGAAATAGCAGAGTACTTCATGTGCATTCAATGTATTTTCCCTGTTAAAAGTTTGAGAAATTATTTTTTATAATTTGAAATAATCCTTTCTAGTTTCTGTATGTGTGCTTATTCACTCAGTCATGTCCAACTCTTGTGACCCCATAGACTGTAGCCCGCCAGGCTTCTCTGTCCATGGGATTCTCTAGGCAAGAATACTGGAGTGGGTTGCCATCTCCTTCTCTGGGGGACCTTCCTGACCCAGGAATCAAACCCAGATCTCCTGCATTGCAGGCAGATTCTTTACTGACTGAGCTACAAGAGAAGCCCCACTAGTTTCTGTATACTAACCATTAATCATAACCTCTTTTTTGTCAATCTGTATAAATTATCAGTATATAAATTATAAATTATCAGTGCCTCATACCATCTAATATATCTACTCAGGGATATTATTGCTTTAAGTTTTCTTATAAGATTCAAACATGTAATAAGCTCATATAAGTAGTCTTTTAATGTCAGAAATGTAAACTCTCAGTCAAATTCACATCTTTTGGATTGTAAGGTTGAAAACAAATTCCATTTTGCTATATGTTTTATTAAGGATTTAGAGAAATTTCAATTTCTCCAGTGTTTAGAAGACTGTATGAACCTTTTTGAAAACCGTGGTGCTTTAGAGAGCAGCCATGTTTTGTTGAATTTATAAATGATTTCTCAGTGTGTTCCTTTCAATTCACAGGGAAATGTTACTTTACAACCTGTACTCGGAAAAGGTAAATCAATAATCTTCTCATGACTTTTTTCTCAGATATCAAAATACAAAGGGGTCTCTGCTTTCTGACAGCTTCTTGCTCTCCCTTCTCCTATTCTCAGCATCCCACCCCCGCCCCAAGGCCCCCTCTGATGTGTTGAGTTTAATCTGCTCCCGGCTAGAAAAATCAGATAATCGCACTTGTTAAATTCAAGCTTAAAGTCAAAATGAAAGACAATCTGATTAAAGCCCCGTGAGTCATGCTCATGTGTTTTAATGCATGCACATTAGGATCAAAGCACTAAAACCACTGCACATTCCTCAGTTCCTAAATAATGACTTGTGTGTGTAAAAGTGTTAGTTGCTCAGTCGTGTCTGACTCTGTGACCCCATGGACTTGCAGTTTCTCGGTCCTGCCTGACTCTGTGTGACCCCATGGAGTGCCACCAGGAGCCTCTGTCCATGGGATTCTCCAGGCAAGATTACTGGAGTGGGTTGCCATTCCCTTCTCCAGGGGATCTCCCTGACCCAGAGAGCAAACTCCCAAGGCTCACATTCCAAAAACAGTGCTGTGTGGCATGTATATATATAACATTGTTGTTCCAGAAAGTATACAGGAAATTTATGGCCTTGATAAACATAAAATAAGATTGCAGAATCACTGACTATGGAGATCAATTGTCTTATAGAAAGATGTCAGTCACCGTAGATCCTTCAAACTTTTGTTTCTTCTATTGTCTGGGCCATCCCATCTCTTAATGTCAGTTTATAGCAGATTTTACATGCATTGTTCAGTTGTGACCCCATGAACTGTAGCATGAACTTCCCTGTCCTTCATTATTTCCCTGAGTTTGCTCAAACTCATGTCCATTGAGTGAGTGATGCCACCCAACCATCTCATTCTCTGTTGTCCCCTTCTCCTCTTGCCCTCAATCTTTCCCAGCATCAGGGTCTTTTCCAGTGAGTCATCTCTTCACATCAGGTGGCCAACATATTGGAGCTTCAGCTTCAGCATTAGTCCTTCCAGTGAATATTCAGGGTTGATTTCCTTTAGGAGTGACTTGTTTGACCATACATAAAGCATAAAGCAGCTGAATTCGGTTATAATTTTACAATCTGTAAAGAATGTGTGCACAAATTTACAAAAGTGTTTTCAGATTTTCTGGACACTGCATACAAGATAGGATTAAATTCTCCTGAGCATATGAAAATGGGTTTCTGCATGGACATCTACAAATCTGAGGCCTGCAAGGAAATTACTATCTCAGGAAATATTTTCTCAAAAACAGACTTCAATATGTGAGCTCCCCTCTACTGTTTTCCTTACCTTAATAACTTAGTATTTAACAGCCCAGGTGTGTTTGATACTGTTGTCTCCTGCTCTGCACAGATGAACTAGCAGACTATGGAGTCAATGACACAGTCCATCCGGCTGAGGGAATCAGTCTGGAAAAAGATTTGGTCAGCCAGACAACAGCAACACAGGAAAAATCGCAGGAGGAACTTACAACAATAAACAACAGTGTTTCTAAAGAAATATGGTTGGATTTTGAAGACTTCTGTGTATGTTTTCAGTAAGTATAAAATTTATGTGTGTGTAATATAATGGATGTATAAGCCTTTGATTTTTTAGCTTTCATTTAAAAGAGTTAAGCCAGTGTTAGTCTGGTGTTGATCTAATAGTACACAAAAATATTTAGAAGGAAATATGGATGAGTTGATTGTCCACATGAGGCTTGAGTAGCCGAACCAGTCTCAGGCCAATTTCAGCCTCTTCTCAAAGACTTATTTTTTGTTTAAGTTTATTCACCGAGAGAGATCATTTGTGTCCTTGTCAGGCAACTAATTCAATACAGTTGCTATTTTTCCCAGCTTTATTTATGCACAATTGACAGATAAAATGATAAATAGTTAGTATGCATGGAGGGTGGATGAATTGAGAGATTAAAACTGACATATATTCAGTTTCATATGTAAAATAGATGTGGGAACCTGCTATATTGTACAGGGAGCTTAGCTGAGTGTTCTGTGATGACCTAGAGGGCTGGTGTGGGAGGGAGGTTCCAGAAGGAGAGGATATATGTACACACAAAGCTGTTTCACTTCATTGTAATAGCAGAAACTAACACAACTTTGTAAAGCAACTGTACTCAAAAAAAAAAAAATGTGTACCTGGTGAGGAATTAAAATACATACATATTGTGAAAGATCCCCCCATCCATTTAATTAACATATGTATCACCTCAATTGTTTATCTTTTTATTTTGTGTGAGAACATTTAAGTTCTGTTCTTTGAGAACATTTTAATTATACAGTGTTGTGTTATCAACAATACTCACCATGTTTCACATTAGATCTTCAAACCTTATTCATCTTGTAGCGGAAAGTTTGTACTCTTTTTACCAATCTCTTCTTATTTTCCCCACCCCCAGCCCTGACAACCATGTTTTTCCTCTCTGAGTTGTTATTATTTCTTGTAACTTTCATCTATCTTTACCTGTTTTGCCTATGATTATTCATGTCTGAGAAACTTCATATGTAGTACTAGTCTGTTGCATATAATGACAATAACCTGTTATAAATGTTTTTCAGGACTATATATATTTTCCACAAACCAAGTTCATATTGCTTTAACTTTCAAAAATCAGAATTCAAGGTAAATACCTTATGATATCTTCTCTTTCACTTCTTAAATTTTTGATGGAATCATGCTACTGAAAAACACTTTCAAATTTATCAAGCATTTCTAAACTTCTAATATAATTGTATTTAAAAAAATTGTTAGGGTTTTCTACTAATCTCCTACCCAGACAATAAGCAAAATTCTGCTACCTGGTATTTCCAAGTGTGACCCATCTGGTTATGTTGCAGCAGTTCAAGCCTGAGATGTGTTATTTTATAAATTCACATTAAGGAAATTTTGACTTATAAAAAAAGGGAGGAAAAGCACAAAAAATTCACTTTGCATGCTTGCATGCTAGGTTGCTTCAGTCGTGTCCAACTCTTTGCAACCCTATGGATTGTAGCCCACCAGGCTCCTCTGCCCACGGGATTCTCCGGGCAAGAACACTGGAGTGGATTGCCATGCCCTCCTCCAAGGGATCTTCACAACCCAGGGATCAAACCCACATCTCATATGTCTTCTGCTAATTAATGTTCACTGACTTGCACACAATTTCTAAAACATAAGCACTATCATTTTCACTATCATTTTTGCTATATCAGCCCACATTCTTCCTTCTGCTCGAAATTAATTCGCCTTAGTCCTTCCCACTGCTTGAGGTTCATTCCCCTTCCTCTGACCAATGTCTGCAAGTCCCTCAGAACAGCACGGATGCCGTGAGACCTCCTTCCCTGGCCATAGAGTCTGAGTCAAGTACGCTCTCTCCACACACTCCGTGTGACTGTCCACACTCAAACCCTTTCTCCCTCCATCCTGACTGTATGGCCATTCCTCGGTGTTCCTCCACCTACCTATCCACTTCATGTCAGCATGTTAAGGAGGACTCCGTCCTTTTCTTTACTGTTGAGGCCCTGGCATGAAGTAGAAACTTGGTTTAAAAAAATTGTTGAATGAATTAATGAACAAGTCTCACATGGGGTAGAATTTTGGAGAAGATGATGAAATGTATCCTGGGAAACGAAATTTCCCAACAAGCTGAAACATGCTTGTTGCTTGTATGAAGCCATGCAAGCCCCAGTGATAACCCCACATCTCACAGAGCTACTGCAGAGTTGGGGGAAGTAAGGAGGCTTGGAGATGACTTCTCCCTTTACACTTGGACTAGATGAAGATGCAGACAGAGAAAACCTTTTTTGAGCATCCCTCAAGAGGTGCTTTGTAGCTGGTTGCCTGCTCTGAAAGTACGAATCAGCTCCGTACTAGTGACTGGGGCTGGCAGAATGATTGACCTGGCTCAGAAGTCTGTCTACAAAAAATACCCAGAGGAATGCTTTGACTTTATGAAGATAAAAAAGCCAACAAAGCAAAAGCAAACAAACAAAACCCAAACTGTTAATTGGGAATGGCAGAACCCAGTGTGTGGTATGACATTTATTTACCATTTATAGTTAATTTAGGAATGTCATCATATTCAAATTACTGGCAACAGATAAATGATAGTTATATATAGGTGCTCCCTCTATTCCCAGTCTTGAACTAGGTTCTTTATTGCATCAACTCTTCAAGGAAAATCAAATGAAAAGACTATTATTATTATCAATTTTCAGATTAGGAAACTGAGGCAGACCAAATTTGGGTAAAATGCCCAAGGTCACCAAACTAGTAAGTGGCACAAACATCAGGAGAACCAGGTTTGTCCTCAGTGAAACCTTTCTCACTAGAGCACCTTTGGAGGAAGCAGATCCATGGCTCTGAAACCAGACTGCCTGGTTTTGAATGCAAATTTCACTTGGGATAGGACTCTTTGCCTCAATTTACTTATTTATACAGTGACAGTGAGAGACCTACATCAGAGTTGAGAAAGGAATGACAGGATTTGTGTAAAACACTTAGAAGAATGCCTAATACTTAGTAAGTGAAAAACAAATGCTGGCTGTCATTATTATTACTAAGAGCATTTGGCACATGAGTTTTTGTTATACATTGCCACCCTAATATATATGTGTGTGTGTGTGTGTGTATTTGGACATTTTTATGAAGTGATGGTAAATACAGAATTTTATTTTCCTTTTAAAGTTTCAGCTTGGCAAAATAAAATGACAGCATCCATTATGAGTCCCTTCATCCCCCTGATTTTCTTTTTTGCATCAATGGTCTGAGAAAAGGATGACTTAGAGGATGTTGTTAGTACCCAAAATTAACGGCCTTTAGTTTGGCTGGTCCATGATCTGAGGCTAGGCAGTCCTGATTTAGGGGCTCCCCTGGTGGCTCAGATGGGAAAGAATCTGCCTGCAATGCAGGAGACCCAGGTTCGATACCTGAGTAGGAAAGATCCTCTGGAGAAGGGCATGGCAAGCCATCCAGTGTTCTTGCCTGGAGAACCCCACACACAGAGGCGCCTGGCGGGCTACAGTCCATGATGTCGCAAAGAGTAGGACACGACTGAGCAACTAACACTTTCCCTTTTAGTCCTGATTTTAGTGGCCACAGGCAATGCCTGCTGAACTGGGTCACAGAGTCTGAGGCTTATCCTGTGCACATCCATTAGCTGTCCCCATGGGTGATGTCATGGGGGCTGGCAGGGAGCTTGCAAAGATGTCTCGTGCCTGCAGCAGGGCAGATTCCCTGCATGTGGCCTCCAGGGCCACCTCATCTTCAAATTCTCAGACAATTTAAAATGATGGCAAATAGCAAGGTAGAGCCTCTTCCTTGCTCACACAGGCTACATTGGCAAATTCAGGGTCCTTCAGAGTTTTAGACAGGGAGTATTTGAAACAACTGCTCTATCACCAACATGTTGCAGACAAAAGAAAACAAAAGAAAACTAAAATAGAATGTCAAATGCTAACTATTGGAAAACTTTGAGTGATGCAGTCATTTTAAATAGTTACATTGCATCAAACATTTCTAGAAATCTTATTATACTTGATTATTAAGGATTTCTTTTTCACAATATAACTTTTTTTTCTGCATTTCAACTTGTTATTTAAATATTGTTGTAAAATAATATAGAAAGCTTTTAAAGTATAATGACAGTTAAATTAACACATTTACCATACACCATCAGTCAAAATTATGTCGAAGCACTGGGAAATTGAAGTGCAGTAATAGTACAATAATTGAAAGACTAACATTGGAGTTAGGTATTAGTAGATAGATAGACTTACTTTTGAATCTCAGCTGTGCTACTTGCAAACTCTGTGACCTTTGACGAATTACTTACCCTCTCTGTATTTTAGTTTCTTCATCCATAATGATAGATATTAATAGTACCCACCTAAGATGGATTGAAATCATATTCTTGTAATCCTTATGTGCCTGTTCACTAAGAAATATTCCAATTGTGCTCAGTACTTTCTTGCATGCCCCCAGCAAAAATCCAGTTTTGTTCTGGAGTAGGTAACTTTTCACTTCTCCAGGGGATCTTCCCAACCCAGGGAACAAACCCACGTCTTTCACATTGCAGGCAGATTCGTTGCCAGCTGAGCCACAAGGGAAGCCCCCAGTTTGGTTCATTAGTATGCAATGGGTGTAGTTCTGAAGATCTTGTAGAATGAAGGAGTAATAGCAAAAACCACCAAGTGGCATGTGCTTACTCACTCAGTTGTGGGTGACTCTTTGTGACCCCCAAGGACTGTAGCCAGGCTCCTCTGTCCATAGGATTCTCCAGGCAAGAATACTGGAGTGGGTTGCCATGCCCTCCTCCAGGGGATCTTCCCAACCATTGGACTGAACCCAGATCGCCCTCATTGCAGGCAGATTCTTTACCACCTGAGCCAACAGAGAAGCCCAAGTAGACTACCTTAATGCATTTCTATTCTCTCCCTGTTTACTTACCAGGGACCTATTTTCTGAGCACTGCTCAGCTGTGGGCTCGGTTCCTTCCTCTTCTGTCATTTCTGGAACAAGCATACCCCCTTTCTGTGCTCACAGAGGAGAACTTTGGCTCTCTCTGCTATGGTGGCTGGCCTCAGTCTCTGCAGACACATGGACTGCTGCCTCCATGCACCAGTGTGGTTTTCTTCCTTTCATTAGATCTGTAAAGTACTTGTTGTGGGATCTAGAACACACCAAATGCTCTATGAATGTCAGGTATTATACTTTCATTAGGAGTGGAAAATAGCAGCATTAACAAACTGATATGAAATGCAACAATTAGTCTATTTCTTGCAGTTTTCAGATGAACGTGTGTCCTATCACCTATTCGTGGACAGTTTAAAGCCCATTGAACTGCTGATCTGCTTTTCTGCATTGGTACGCTGGGGAGAATCTGGAGGTAAGAGGGCTATGAGAAAATTACGATCTGAAAGCCCAGCTCACTTCCCATTCAGGGAAAATGTATACTACACATTTTAGACACCAAATGAAGGAACTTATTCCTTCTCCAGACCTCCTAAGATCTTCCTGCTCCTCTGACATCAAGGACTATACTCACTCTTGCCACCCACCTCTCTCTTTGTTCTGGTCATATGGTTACCTCTTTAGCACACCTAGTCTCTCTGTTTCTCTTTCCCCCTATACATGTCATCATTGTTGATTCTTTAAAAATCTATTTAAAATCACAAGCTCTTTCTTCTTTGATTTGACTCTTCCAAAGGCCTTTATCTCCATCCCTCCCAGGCCCCCACTATCATGGTTTTATTTAGATTTTATTATACCAATAACTGTATTATCTCAATCAATTTTAAGCTCTCTGACCTCCACACATGAAGTTCCAGTTCATTCTAGAATTCCCACCCCTACAATCCTTGGACTTAATGGGGACCACCGTTCATCAACCTTACAACTTTTTCTGTGTCCACCCTCATCAGACCCTTATTTCTCTGATTCCCAACCCTGTTTCCATGGCCCATCATTGTATTCATTGATGTTTCTTCACATGTGCCCTCAACGCAAGTGCTTTCTTACCCTCTCAAATTATGTTTCTGACAAAACCCTAATACTGGTTGAAAATATCTCTGCCTGACCTGGGATTGCATCAGAGCAGCTGAGTGTAACTGAAGAAAAAATTCCTACTAGTGAGCCCCATTTTAAATTGAGGACCACGAACCTCAACAAGAACAAACAGATGACCTAAGCACTGTCAACATTCCCCAAGTTCTTTCATTCTCCCAACTTTCATTCTTATGGATGATTATTGCAAACCTGCAGATCTCTCTCCATCTTCAAATCTCCAGTTCCCACTCTCATCCTTCCTGCTTTTCAGTTGATGACCTTGCTACTGTTTTCACTGAAGAGATAGAAGAGATCAGAAATGACCCACTCATCTCCTCATATTGAACTCTCTCAAGCTCTAGTCACCTTTCCTTCCTATTCTAACAGGCAGACTATTCCTTTTCTTCTCTAAAGCCAGTTTCTTGTGAACACATGCCCATATGCACAAAACAGTATTCTTTGATTGACCTGTTTTACTAAAGCATTTATATATAACTCAAATGAACAGCTCTGACTCTATACAGGTATAAATTTTTGCTGCATGCTTAATATTGAACTTCTTGCCTACCTTGTTGACAGAGACTATGGTTTTCCTACCAAGATATACCCAATATTTTGAATGGTATCAGATGTGTAGCAGGTAGGGAATATATATTTGTTGAATAAACTTTCCCGACTTCAGCGGTGTGAGTTTAGTATGTCTACCTAACCAACAGTTCCTAAGCTGTACCACATCCTAGAACGTTGAAACTCCAGATTCATGGAAGTGTTTTAGATCATGTGGTGGCCTGTAACATTAGCTTGAGGGTTAGCTGCAAAATAAGGTAAGAAGTACTTTGCCTTCAGCTACCAATGAAGAATAATATTTTCTACCCATTTTCAGATTTTTAAAAAGTTAATTAAAGTTTAATTAGATTGTTTTAATTAATTTACAAAATACAATTGAATTTAAAATGTTAATTTAATTGAAATGAAAGTTTTGTTAATTATCTGTTATTTCTCCACATACTTAAAGCTAAGAAGCAAAGGTAAAAAAACTTAGATAAAATGTAGCATATTTTGCCCTTGTTTTGACACTTTCTTAGTAAAATCTCTCATTTTCCCAGATGTAGTAATTTTCCTCCTTTAAAATTGCATCCAGCAGGATATTGTGATTACTGCCCTACGTAAGAAAAGCAGGGGTTTACTACAATGAAATATCCCTGGTCGACCTCTTTTTTTCTAACTTTCCCATTCCTGGTTTCTTCAGCTGGGTGAATGACTACGAGGAGAAAAGTAGGAGTAGGAACGGAGATCTTGCTTCCTCTCGGGTATTATTTCACATAACTATTTCCCCAGCATAATTTCTAATGTTTTATGAGCATTTTCAGAATATGTCTAATTCTTGGTTGTTGTTAATATTATTATAATTATATTATTATTAATGTCATATTGATAAAAAAGCAATACTAGTGATAGCCAACTAGACTCTCACAATTGAATTTATATAAATATGTGTATATATATATATATTTTTTTTTTTTTTTAACTTTTCCTAAAGCTTTAACAAAGAACAGCCCTCCCATAGAGCCTGGACTACTTACAGTTGAGACGGTGTCTTGGAAATCTCTGAGGCCACGCCATCTTGTTGTGACAATTCACACCTATGCTACCAAGGCTACAGTAGTTCGCCTGCCTGTTGGGTATGGAGTGACTTTATTTTTCCCATACTAAGAATTATTTGAAGACTTGTAAACTTTTGACTACTCGATAATGAAACAATATGGAATCTAATATGTTGTTTCCTAAAGTGATTTCACAAAGTATAGGCCTATCATCATGATTCTTGAGAAAAATAATTCTGGGAACTAATAAACTGAAGAGACGCTGTACCTTTTGGAAGATGCATAATTGCCAAAAAATCTGAAACTTCTTTAGTAAAGAGTACATTTTAAATGTGTTTAATCCAGTATTTCCTAAAATTAACTTATTAAAATGATCTTTTTGTTTTATTATGCCATAGTTCTTAATAAGGACCCTGATTTTATTTAAAAACAGTTTGAAAAACAGCATTTTTTTCTATAAATCTATAGTTTTACCTGTAGTTATTTTTAATTTTACCTGTAGTTTTATTTTAAACTAAGATACAATTGGTTAAACCCATCACATTTTCCATTTTAAAGAAAAGATATATAATTGAAAAGTTTTCATGATTTTTGATAAGTAAAGTTCAAAATATTACCTCTTATTTCAGATAAGATAAATATTTTGCTGAATTTCCCAAGATCAATCATGATAATTCTATGTGATTAATGAAAAGCTATGGCTCTTATTCAAAAAGCAAAATCCAAGCAACAAAATAAAGTGCTAAAATAATCTATGGCAAGCGTCCAATATTCCTAGAGGAATAATGAATTTTAGAGATACTGTATTTTTCACATCTCCCCTAAAAACTCTAGTTCGGAAAGATTCTCCCAGAAATCATTTTTCTGTCTGAGTGCTCATTCATCAGGATGACCAGGGATAGGGAAGTGATAAAGAATCTGCTTTTATCTGGGCTTCCCTGTGGCTCAGACGATGAAGAATCAGCCTGCAATGCAGGAGACCTGCGTTCAGTCTCTGGGTCAGGAAGATCCCCTGGAGAAGGGAATGGCTAACTTCTCCAGTATTCTTGCCTGGAGAATTCCATGGACAGAAGAGCCTGGCAGACTACACTATAGTCTATGGGGTCCCAAAGAGTAGAATACAACTGAACAGCCAAACACTTTCACAATTTACTACTTCTATCCACATTTCCCCCTACAGGGACCTAAGCAGCCAACAGGAAGGTTTCAGACATGCTCTCAGTCCTCTCCATGATGCTACAACCTGGTAGGAGAGACATAAGTAACATACATGAAGCTACGCATTTGTGAGAAAAGGACTATGAAATCTACAAAGCACTGGGCCAATGTGAATTATTACTGTTGTGAGGGGAAAATCAGAACCAGTCTTTTGCAATATGTCTGCAGTGCATGGGAGATGTCTCCAGTCTGTGCAACTTTGTCATTTAGTCTGACTGCTTTTATTCAACATAATTAGTGAAATATAGATTCCATGCTCTCTGAGGGTTCTTTCAGAGTAAAAATTCATCAGTCATTACCTCCTGTGTGTTTCAAAATTCAGCCCATACTAACCTTTGACTTCATTTGAGCACAAAGTATCATCAAGAAGCTAACATACACAAGGACTACAACAAAGGAGACCCTCGATCTATATATTGTGCCCACTCTCTTTAGGAGACACATGCTGCTCTTCACTGCATACTCCCCCATGGGCCACTCCATACACATCTGCAGCATGGTGACCTTCATCATTGGGGATGAAGATGTTGTGCTACCCAACTTTGAGCCGGTAAGTTGGTTAGCAACTGTGATGTTTGTGTGTGTGCTTTAGTTTCAAAGATCTTGAACTAAATCATATTTCTATTTTTTATTCAACTTACTCATTTTTTTACTTTTTAAAACTATTAAGTATATTCTTTAAGAAATTCTCAAATACATGTTAATAAGTAGTCTGAACTCTGTAGGGACACAAATAAAATAATTTTATTTTAAAAATATATTATTTTATTTCATTTTATTTTGTTTACTCATCTCTGCTCTGTTGAATTCCCTTACACATCTGTTAACACCTAAGGCAGATCCCATAGTATCAATATTATTGTTCCCTTGAGAAACAGAAAGGATCAGTACAGACTTTTTCAATGCAGATTAAATTTTTAGTATTTTGTATGCTCCTTTCCCCCTTCTTTGTCCTAAGGAAGGGACTCTGGGATTCAGGGGGAGAGGATCCACGAAAGGGTCAGTCATTTCTTCACCTGCTCTTAATCTCTTGGTTTTTCTAGCTCCTCAGCTCTGACAGGGTCTGAAAGAAAAGAGAGATAAATAAATCTTCCTTCAGGTCCTGTCTTGGTTTAGACATCCTCTCAAGGACATCTTTAGACATATGCAGATGCATTTTGGGAGACAAGTATTTATAGGGCCTTTCTACTGCATAATTCAGCTTTACCAGCTCCTCCTATCTATCTCCATATATCACAACTTCGTATTAGTGAGATGAGATCCACTTAGCCAGTCAATAAACCTCTTGTCCAGAGAGGTAGCGGTTGGGTGAAAACCAACTCGGTGCTCATGTTTTCATGGCCCAGATAGGCTCCAGTCATGCGTCCTTCCCTCTCCAGGCAGCGGTCCTGAGGATGCCCTATGGCTGCCTCCTCTCTTTCTGCATCATCTCTCATCAGACCTAACTCCTCCTCAATAGACACAGAAGGAAGATAATCCAACCCACCTTCTATGTCCCTTAAACCCTTAATTAGATTTACCCTGCTTGCTTTAAATTCTTGTTTTTTCTCTTCTTTAAACAAAAATATTTTTACCTGAATAAATCAGTATCATCTTAAAGAAATCGTACTAAATAAAGCTGCATAAAGTGAAAGTGTTAGTTGCTCAGTCATGTCCGATTCTTCAAGATAACTATAAAAGAAAGGCAGCCAACTTAATAACCACAATTATATGATTTAGATGAAATAAATGTGCTTAAGTGGTAAAGAATCCTCCTGTCAATGTAAGAGACACAAGAGACGCAGGTTCGATCCCTGAGTCGGGAAGACCCCCTGCAGGAGGAAATGGCACCCCACTCCAGTATTCTTACCTGGAAAATTCCATGAACAGAGGAGCCTAGTGAGATACAATCCATGGGACCTCAAAGAGTCAGACCAGACCGAGTGACTGAGCACACATAATGATATTTAAAAAAAAAAAAACCTTCAGGGAACTTGAGGATTTTTAGAGCATAAGCCCCCATCTCCTTGCATGACCCTGAAATAAACCTTTCTCTGCTTCAAACACCAAACAAATAAAAAAAATTTTTTTTACATAGTATAGCTTATCTAGTTTGTTTCTTTTTTATTTTTTTAATTGAAGCAGAATTGATTTACAGTATCATGTTAGTTTCAGCTGTTCAGCCAAGTGTTTCAGCTATTAATATATATTTTTTCAATTATATTCCATTATAGATTAATTAGAAGATATTGAATATTGTCCCCTGTGTTATATAGTAGATCTTTGTTTCTTATCTATTTTATATGTAGCAGTGTTTATCCGTTAAACCCATACTCTTAATTTTTCCTTCCCCTACCTGTTTGCCTTTGGTTAGTCATAGTTTGTTTTCTATGTCTATGAGTCTTTCAGTTTTGTAAATCCATTTGTACTTATTTATTTTATTCCATGTATGATATCACACAGTATTTGTCTTTGTATACTTAATCACTATGATATTCTGTAGGCCTATCCATGTTACTGCAAATGGAAGCTTTTCATTCTTCTTATGGCTGAGTAATATTCCAGTACTATATCCATGCATTGACTGATGGACATTTAGGCTGCTACTCTAGATAGTGCTATGAAAACTGGGGTGCATGTATTGAACTTAAAAGTTTTTGCACAGCAAAAGAAACCAACAAAATGAAAAGACAGCCTATGGAATTGGAGATATTTGCAAATGATGTGAATGACAAGGGTTTAATTTCCAAAATATACAAACAGTTCATACAACTCAATGTCAAAAACATCCCAATAAAAAATGGGCAGAAGACCTCAATAGACATTTCTCCAAAGAAGACATTCAGAAGATTAACAGGTATATTAAGAGATGCTCAACACTGTTAATTATTAGAGAAATGCAAAGCAAAACCACAATGAGGTATCACCTCACATGGGTCAAAATGGCCATCATCAAAATATCTACAAAAAATAAGTGCTGGAGAGAGCACGGAGAAAAGGAAACCTTCCTACACAGTTGGCTAGAATGTAAATTGATACAGCCACTATGTAGAACAGTATGGAAGTTCCACGGTGGTGGTGATTTAGTTGTTAATTCATGTCCAACTCTTGTGACCCCATGGACTGTAGCCTGCCAGGCTCCTCTATCCATGGGATCCTCCAGACAAGACAACTGGAATGAGTTCCCAGTTCCTTCTCCAGGGGATCTTCCCGACTCAGGAATTGAACCTGGGTCTCCTGCATTGCAGGAAAATTCTTTACCAATTGAGCTACAAGGGAAGTCCTAAAAAAACTAAAAATAGGGTTACCATGTGATCCAGCAATCCAGCTCCTGGACATATGTCCTGGGCATATATTCAAAAAGATGTATGCACCCCAATGTTCATAGCAAAACTGTTAACAATAGTCAGGAAATGGAAGCAGATTGTTTCTTTCTTTAGGTGATTTAATTCCCTAATTGTTTGACTATTTGGGTCTGTGAACTCATGTTTTCCTGGGATTATCAACTCCTCCATCTTATAAAAGTTATTGGGGCTGACTTTTAGGCCCCCGTAGCCTTCACTTCTAATCAAGAAGGAAAGGGGGATATAGACTGGTTCAAAAGCAGAGAGGCTCAAGCTTCTCAGAACCATGCTTGATCACTCCCAATGCTTCCACTTAACCAGGTGACTTTTCTGGTCATGGGTTCATTTCAGGGAGACACTATTAAGAAGAGATTTTTCCAAAGCTTTGAGGGGATTGGGAGAAGGTCAGGGGGAAGTAAATGTATTAATATAGTGAGTCGATTGCCTCTGTTTTCATCAGCTTTTGACTCCATTCTCACGCTATTCCTGCTGGACTAGTCCTTAGAATTTCTACAGGGAACTGTGGAGTGATGGTAGCGCCCCTAAAGAAAGGGGCAAAAACAGACTTTACAAAGCTTTCCTCCTGCATGACCCTCTTCCTCTTCAGGCTGCCGGTAAGCACCCTCTGCTCCGAAACTTCTCCATCATCTGCAACACCTCAGGGTTTTCTCCATCTTTAAAAATAAGTTCCTTCCTGATATCCCTGTCTCCTTCTTGCTTTATTGTTTCTTCAGAGTTTATAGCAGAAGGAAGCCAGAAGCCCAGGCTAGTTCACCCCTTGCCTTTTCTTTCTTTTAATTGCTCTCTCCCTGAACTCTTCTCTGCCCTGCAGTCATCAAATACCACACAGCTGTTAGACTAATTCCTAGACGTTCTTCAGAACAAAGGTTGGGTATTAATACTGTGGAGAAATTGCCCCTGGCCCCCAGTGGGGTTCGTGTTCTTTCTGTGTGTTCCTACAAGAGCAAGAATCAAGTTCTTTGTTTAACATCTCTCTGACCGTGACTCCTGGTGAAATACTTTGATCAAGTAAATCCTCCATAAATAACTGTTGAGTCAGTCCCGTAACAGATTTTTAATATATTAATAGAAACTAAATCTTTGTAAACCTAATTACACCTAAATAAATGAAAATGAGGCTGAGTACTATGCTTGGTATTCACAGGAGAGCTACCGATTTACAGAGCAGGCTTTAACTATTTTGAAAGCTGTTGGACATGTGATTGCTAATTTCAAAGACAAGGCAAAACTTTCTGCAGCCCTGAAGGATCTACAAACAGCTCACTACCCTATCCCCCTCCAGGATAAAGAACTAACTGCACAGCACTTCAGGGTAAGTATGTTCAAGCTATACAGTTCCTAGAAGAACATGTTCTATTTGTAATAGCATATCTCATATTAGATAAGATCCCCTAAATCAGAGCTGAGAAAATGTTCTGGATGAAGACAATTTGGAACGTGATGACAGCAAGCAGAAATGAGAGAATAGGAAGAATGAAGTGAGAAAGAAAAGCATATTTGTTAAAGGATGTGATAATGATTGCTGTGGGTTACTGGGGCTCAGTCCTCCAGGGGATCGTGGTGAACTGTGGAGGGTATCCCTCAGAAACGTCCTACTGAAGGATGAGGTGACTGTACTATTTATCCACCAAATCCTTCCCCACTGATAGGCGGATGCTCTCGAGGTATCAATATTTCCTCACACTGTTGGGGCTAAGGAGCATCCTGGCTTTCAGTTCAGTTCAGTTCAGTCACTCAGTCGTGTCCAACTCTTTGTAACCCCATGAACTGCAGCACGCCAGGCCTCTCTGTCCATCACCAACTCCTGGAGTTCACCCAAACCCATGACCATCGAGTCGATGATGCCATCCAACCATCTCATCCTCTGTCATCCCCTTTACCTCCTGCCCACAATCCCTCCCAGCATCAGGGTCTTTTCAAATGAGTCAACTCTTTGCATGAGGTGGACAAAGTATTGGAGCTTCAGCTTCAACATCAGTCCTTCCAATGAACACCCAGGACTTATCTCCTTTAGGACGGACTGGTTGGATCTCCTTGGAGTCCAAGGGACTCTCAAGAGTCTTCTCCAACACCACAGTTCAAAAGCATCAATTCTTTGGCACTCAGCTTTCTTTATAGTCCAACTCTCACATCCATACATGACTACTGGAAAANTCATGAGGTACTCTGCATATAAGTCAAATAATCAGGGTGACAATATACAGCCTTGACATACTCCTTTCTTGATTTGAAACCAGTCTGTTGTTCCATGTTCAGTTCTAACTGTTGCTTCCTGACCAGCATATAGATTTCTCAGGAGGCAGGTCATGTGGTCTGATATTCCCATCTCTTGAAGAATTTTTCACAGTTTGCTGTGATCCACACATTCAAAGGCTTTAGCATAGTCAATAAAGCAGAAGTAGATGTTTTTCTGGAGTTCTCTTGCTTTTTTGATGATCCAATGGATGTTGGCAATTTGATCTCTGGTTCCTCTGCCTTTTCTAAATCCAGCTTGAACATCTGGAAGTTCACAGTTCACATACTGTTGAAGCCTGGCTTGGAGAGTTTTGAGCATTATTTTGCTAGCGTGTAAGATGAGTGCAATTGTGCAGTGGTTTGAACATTCTTTGGTATTGCCTTTGTTTGGAATTTGAATGAAAACTGACCTTTACCAGTCCTGTGGCCACTGCTGAATTTTCCAAATTTGCTGGCATATTGAGTGCAGCACTTTCATAGCATCATCTTTTAAGATTTGAAATAGCTCAACTGGAGTTCCATCACCTCCACTAGCTCTGTTCATAGTGGCGCTTCCTGAGGTCCGCTTGACTTCATGTTCCAGGATGTCTGGCTCTAGGTGAGTGATCACACCATTGTGATTATCTGGGTCGTTAAGATGTTTTTTGTATAGTTCTGTGTATTCCTGCTTCTGTTAGGTCCATACCATTTCTGTCCTTTATTGTGTCCATCTTTGCATAAAAAATTCCCTTGGTATCTTAATTTTCTTGAAGAGATCTTTAGTCTTTCCCATTCTATTGTTTTCCATTTCTTTGCATTGATCACTGATTTAAGTGTTACTTATCTCTCCTTGCTATTCTTTAGAACTCTGCATTCAAATGGGTATATCTTTCCTTTTCTTCTTTCCCTTTCACTTCTCTTCTTTTCATAGCTGTTTGTAAGGCCTCCACAGGTCAACCTTTTTGCCTTTTTACATTTCTTTTTCTTGGGGAAATAGTCTTGACCCCTGCCTCCTCTACAATGTCATGAACCTCTGTCCATAGTTCTTCAGACACTCTGTCTATCAGATCTAATCCTTTGGATGTATTTGTCACTTCCACTGTATAGTAAAGGATTCCATTTAGGTCAAACCTGAATGGTCTAGTTGTTTTCCCTACTTTCTTCAATTTAAGTCTGAATTTGGAAATAAGGAGTTCATGATCTGAGTCACAGTCAGCTCTGGGTCTTCTTTTTGCTGACTATATAAAGCTTCTCCATCTTTGGCTGCAAAGGATATAATCAATCTGATTTTGATATTGACCATCTGGTGATGTCCATATGTAGAGTCTTCTCTTGTGTTGTTGGAAGAGGGTGTTTGCTATGACCAGTGCCTTCCCTTCATAAAACTCTATTGGTCATTCTGTACTCCAAGGCTAAATTTGCCCGTTACTCCAGGTATTTATTGACTTCCTACTTTTGTCATCCTCCTTTACCGAAAGCCTTAAAGGAGTGATGCAAAACAGGGATTGGTACCCCTGTTCACTATTGGCCTTTCCGTTGATTTTTGTTGTGGTCCTGAACCGTCAGTGGCATCATGGCTTGCCTACACCCTCTAAACACCAGTTGTGACAACTAAAAATAGTTTCAGATATTGTCAAAGAGCCCCTGGGCAGTAGTGTTGCTAGAGTTAGACATTAAAACACAGGATACCCAGTTAAAATTTGTTTTATTAAGGACAATTTTTAGAATGGTTGCAGGTTCATCACAAAATTGGGCAGAAGGTGTGGAGACTTTGCATATATCCTTTACCCCACACACACCTCCCCCACTACTTACCAGCATCCCCCGTGAGATGTACATTTCTTACAACTGATGAGCCCAGTTAAAGTCTGCAGTTTACGTTAGAATTCACTCTTGGCATACATTCTGTGGGATTGGACAAAAGTGTAAAGACATAGATCTATCATTGTAGTATCATACACAGTAATTTCACTGCCCTAAAAATCCTAAGTGTTCTGCCTACTCATCCCTTCCCTCCCCCAAGCCCTAGCACACACTGATCTCTTTATTGTCTCCATAGTTTTGCCTTTTCCAAAATGTCATAATGTAGTCTTTCCAGATTGGCTTCTTTGACTTAGAAATAGGCACTTAAGTTCCCTCCCTGTCTTTTCATGACTTCATAGGTCATTTCTTCTTGTGTGCTAAGTTGCTTCAGTCATGTCCAACTCTGAGACCCTATGGATTGTAGCCCACCAGGCTCCAATGTCCATGGGATTCTCCAGGCAAGAATACTGGAGTGGGTTGCCATTTCCTCCTCCAGGGGTTCTTCCCCAACCAGGAAATGAACCCACTTCTCTTATGTCTCCTGAATTGGCAGGAGGGTTCGTTACCACCAGCACCACCTGGGAAGCCTCATTTCTTCTTAGTTCTGAACAATATTCCATTGTCTGGATATAGCATGGTTTATTTATTCACTTACTGAGAACATCTTTGTTGGTTCCAAGTTTTAGCATTTATGAATGAAGCGGCTATAAACAACTGTGCACAAGTTTTTTGGTGGACATACATTCTCAATTCACTTGTGTAAATACAAAGGAGTGTAATTGCTGGATCATATAACAAGAGTATGTTTAGCTTTATAAAAATCATCAGACTCTTCAAGAGTGGTTGTACCATTTTTCATTCCCATCAAAATGATTGAGAGTTTCTGATATTCCATATTCTAGTCAGAATTTGATGTTGTCAGTGTTCCAGATTTGGACTCTTCTAAAAGCACAGTGGTAAGTCATTTTAATTTGCATATCCCTGATGACATACAATGTGAAACATCTTTTGATATGCTTATTTGCCATCTGTATATCTATTTTGGTGAGGTGTCTGTTAAAGTCTTTGGCCCATTTTTAATCAGGTTGTTTGTTTTCTTATCATTGAGTTTTAAGTATTCTTTTAAAAATATTTTTTCCCAGTCTATGAAGTCATTAGAGAAGTCACAGTCTTCTCATTCTCTTGACATTTTCTTTGCAGAGCAGAGGTTTTAATTTTAGTTAAGTCCAGCTTATCAGTTCTTTCTCTTGTGGGCCATGGCTTTAGTGATGAATACATAAAGGCACTGCCCTACCCAAAGTCATCTAGATATTATCCTATACCATCTTCTAGAAATTTTATACTTTTACATTTTGCATTTCAGTCTACTGTTAATTTTGAGTTAACTTTTTGCATGGTCTCTGTCTAGAATCATTTCACTCAGCCAATTTTTAATTTCATATAAGCAAACAGTATGTACAATATATAAAATACAATTATATTAGAAATTATTTATACTAGAAATTTAATTTCCCTGTTATTCCACTTTAACTGAGCATAAGGTGTTGTTGGGGAAAGATAATTAAGAACAATCTTCAAACCAAGAAAAACTCTGCAAAGGTAGAAGAAAAAGGAAATCATTGCGTAAACCTTAAACTAGAATGTGATACACATCAAGGGCAATCTGCTAAAGAGATTGCAAAGACCCAAGGAAGTTTTGCTTTTGTATAGTTCATCAGATAGAGTCCATTACATACATATTCTCAAGATAAATGATAAATAGTGCTTAAGTAAAAGGATTTGATGGCACCAGTTGTTACACATAGTGAATCCAAAATTCACCTGGCACTTGGGGTCACCATGTGCATGAAGGGAAAGGGGTTTTCCTCAGACCAGAAAGACTTCCTAAGAGCTCAGGGAGAGGGAGAGATATGATTGGGTGAAAATCACCACAAATAGTGCCCAGGGGGCCCTACCTAGGGCTTCATTGGTAGCTCAGTTGGTAAAGGATCTGCCTCCAATGTGGGAGACTGAGCTCGATCCCTGGGTTGGGACAATCCTCTGGAGAAGGGAACGCCTACCCACTCCAGTATTCCGGCCTGGAGAATTCCATGGACTGTACATCCATGGAGTTGCAAAGAGTCAGTCACAACTGAGAGACTTTCACTTCATTTCACTTCAGCCCTACCTCATCCATCAAGTGCTTTACTTCCTGCGAACATGTAAATAGCCACAAGTAAACAAGCAGAAATGTGCCATGGTTGGTTATCATCACCAATGGTGTGATTGGATATATGGAATCTGTCCACATTTCAGGATAAAAATCATGAGCAAAAGAACTTGAAAGAAGGAATATGTGTTCTGGCTGTGGTCTAGGAACCTTCCATCAGCCCACTTTGGTGAAATAAAGAATGAATTGGCATCAACACTTCCTGAATGAGAGTCAGTGGCTTGAGAAAAAACCCAGGGACAAAAGAATGTTCTTTCAGCAATGGTGCATCTTTTGACAACACAAAGGACATAACTGTATGGAAAACACACATGCTAAGTGCTTGTAAAAAGTGATTTGCAAGAGTAGGAGTCTGAGCATGAATACATTCTTGGAATACTTAATCAATATATATAGTTTATTTTATTTTTTCATATATGTTTAAATGTGATACATGATGGAAAAAGTTGTGCCTAAATAAATTTAAAAGAAATTTTTCAATAGGAAATAAATACTCACAAGTGATAGAAAGTGATAAAAACCTTGAGTGGCATATTTTCTTTCTTGAAGCACATGAATTAATAGTGTATCTTACAATAAATGGCATCTCAGAATAAGAGAAACCTGGTATTTAAGTTGCTTAGGCATAAGAACATTATTTTTTATCTTAACACTGTATCTCCTCAATTAATTTAATATTAATTTTGGTTGAATGTACATTATAAACATTGTGTTGATTAAATCTTATTAAGTTGAAATTCATCAGATGTTAAATAAATTTGGTCTCTTACCAGAGGAAGGAGTCTTCAAAGTCTTCTGTTAGATGGTGTGTATATCTGAGAAATAGAAAACTTTTTAGAGCCTCTCTGACTAGGTAAGAGTATTTTCTTTTGCTTAGAAAATATACTAATACATTTTATCTTTGTCAGGTTTTTCATATTTCTTTATGGCGTGTAATGAAAAAAGCTCAAATAGCAAAACCTCCACCCAACACCAAATTTGCATTCCGGGCCATGGTTTTGTACTTGGATTTACTCGATTCTTCTTTGGAAGAGGCTTCTTTAGGTACTGATTAATTTTAGGTGTTTCCGTGACCAAGAAATTCCTAGCTTTATATAGGATACATAATTTGAGAAAAATGCACCCCAAATTTTTGTGGCATAGATAGAATATGTCAGTACTGACAGTTGTAGGGTTCAAGCTTTGCCCTGAGAAAGCTCAAAAGTTTCCAAAGATCTGACATGTGTCCCCTGTTCCACGTATTTCCAGGGGAGCCCAGAATATCCTGCAATGGTGCATCTTTTGACAACACAAAGGACATAACTGTATGGAAAACACACATGCTAAGTGCTTGTAAAAAGTGATTTGCAAGAGTAGGAGTCTGAGCATGAATACATTCTTGGAATACTTAATCAATATATATAGTTTATTTTATTTTTTCATATATGTTTAAATGTGATACATGATGGAAAAAGTTGTGCCTAAATAAATTTAAAAGAAATTTTTCAATAGGAAATAAATACTCACAAGTGATAGAAAGTGATAAAAACCTTGAGTGGCATATTTTCTTTCTTGAAGCACATGAATTAATAGTGTATCTTACAATAAATGGCATCTCAGAATAAGAGAAACCTGGTATTTAAGTTGCTTAGGCATAAGAACATTATTTTTTATCTTAACACTGTATCTCCTCAATTAATTTAATATTAATTTTGGTTGAATGTACATTATAAACATTGTGTTGATTAAATCTTATTAAGTTGAAATTCATCAGATGTTAAATAAATTTGGTCTCTTACCAGAGGAAGGAGTCTTCAAAGTCTTCTGTTAGATGGTGTGTATATCTGAGAAATAGAAAACTTTTTAGAGCCTCTCTGACTAGGTAAGAGTATTTTCTTTTGCTTAGAAAATATACTAATACATTTTATCTTTGTCAGGTTTTTCATATTTCTTTATGGCGTGTAATGAAAAAAGCTCAAATAGCAAAACCTCCACCCAACACCAAATTTGCATTCCGGGCCATGGTTTTGTACTTGGATTTACTCGATTCTTCTTTGGAAGAGGCTTCTTTAGGTACTGATTAATTTTAGGTGTTTCCGTGACCAAGAAATTCCTAGCTTTATATAGGATACATAATTTGAGAAAAATGCACCCCAAATTTTTGTGGCATAGATAGAATATGTCAGTACTGACAGTTGTAGGGTTCAAGCTTTGCCCTGAGAAAGCTCAAAAGTTTCCAAAGATCTGACATGTGTCCCCTGTTCCACGTATTTCCAGGGGAGCCCAGAATATCCGTTTTATTTGTTCCTGACCTTAAAAAGCAGACAGTCACTAATCTATATAGTATAACTTGAGGAATTCTGGGAAGATATTCTGATCTCAGTAACCCTCATTTCTTCCTTTTCCAATGCTCTATTCCCACGATTTTAGCATTTCTTTCAACTTTAGGAGACCCTTCTTGCTATTTTCACAGAGGAATTCAACAGTATTTCACTGAAGTGTCAATATTTAGCGTTTCCCTTCTCCAGAATGTTGATATTCTAAAAAGGAACCACCTGCAGAAGGCAATGTTAAATATAAGAACAAATCTATCATTGTGGCACTTGACCCATCAGATGGCCTTAAAAGTTACAGGCAGTGAAAACTGAACTAGAGATTAGATTAACTTTTAGTCCAAAGTTTGTTTTTCTCTGTCTAGCGGAATGGGTAGATGTTAAGTACAGTGTACCAACAAGCGACAAAGAGTATTCTCCAGAGGAAATAGCAGCAGCAATTAAAATTCAAGCCATGTGGAGAGGAACCTATGTCAGATTGCTTATGAAAGCAAGAACACCAGGTATATTCTTTTAATCATTTATAAAATGAACTTGCATATATAAGTGAAGTGAAAGTCATTCAATCATGTCTGACTCTTTGCAACCCCATGGACTGTAGGCTGCCAGGCTCCTCTGTCCATGGAGACCTTAATACTGGAGTGGGTAACCTTTCCCTTCTCCAGGGGATCTTCCCAACCCATGGATTGAACCCAGATCTCCTGCGTTGCAGGAGGATTCCTTACCATCTGAGCCACCAGGGAAGCCCCGGCATAAATAAAGATGAGTATTTGTTTACATGCTAAGAAAAAGTATTTTAGGTTCATTCAACTCTATGGCTCAGCTAACTGTTTTTAATTCTATAAATATTGAAATTTCTTGAGTTCAGGGTGCAGGTAGGTATGCTCAAGCTCTTGTTCCTGCAATTTAGTGCAGTGTGGCTTTAGTCTGTGTCTGACAGAGTGAGCACACAGCAAATACTGGCTGGATGAATGATCAGCTGTATTTTTCCAATCTTTTGTGAGTTCTTTAAAAACAGGAAACTAGCCTTTTTCCATTCATCCCCAGTGCCTAGCGGAATGCATAGCAGTCAGTTTCAGCTAAGTCATAAGTAATTTTACATTTCTAGGCCATTTTTCAAAGTGAATGCATGAACGAATTAAATGAAGACGTTTCCACGTATGTCCATGGCATCATACACTTAGAAAGCATAAAATGCATTCAAAGTGTATTATTATATTTATTAAATCAAATATATTTTTGTATATGAAACTATTTTGTGAAAAGATCTGGTTTATCAGTTCAAAATAAAACACTGCAAAGGCAAAAAATTATATTCAATTATTTTCATTCTGCAAATTTTGTTGACATTTTTATGTAAAAAGCCTTGCCTCCCATAGAATTCTTTGAGTATTTGGAAATATTTTGTTGTAAAAGTATCTCTGAAATATTTAATAAGAAATATCAAAATGCTCATCAAAGCAGTAAAATCTATAGATCCATAAATGTTAAACAAATAAACTGCATTGCATAGTTTTGTGATAGAAAAACATCCCTGTTGTTTGTCCATATATACTGTAAAAAGTATAATCATATAATAATTTTTTTCTCTTTATAAAGACAAAAATGAACAGCTTTTTAATAGTATTTGTGTTCTCAATCAATATATAGTTATTGAATAATTCTTGTGTGTGCAGAACTATTCTGTGTTCTGGCCTTACAGAAATTAGTAAAACTTCCAAGGTTTCTGCTCTGGTGAATCTTGTGTTATAGTGATCCCAGGCATGCAATGGAAAGTAAATATATTAAGATAATGATTTCAGATACCAGTAAGTTCTATGAAGAAATTAAGATAATTAGAAAAAAAAGTCAGTTTCTGACATGTTAAATTTGAGACGCTTATGATGGATTCACATTTTTTTGTCAGATCATCTCCTCTTAAGCCTTTTGTGGATTATGCTTTAGGTTAAGCTTCAGTGAGATCCCATTAGCCACTGTTCTTTAGGGGGAAAATGGATGGATTATAGTTTCTGATACAAGAGTGTTCATAAGGACTTTTTTGCTGTGATAAGTGATCTTTTGTTGTAAACTCTTTGATGAGTATATTCAATTAGATCAAAGAGATTTTATGATTTTTTAACTAGAGATGAAGGGAAACAGCATAAAATGATGATCAGAACTCTCAGCTAGAGACTCATAGCTTTGTATTTTAAACATGGTTTTATTGCTAGTAAAGCTTCTGACTCTGTATATCACCTTACTTGTGAGTTTCAAGTGCTTCACCTGTGAAAGGAGGGCTTAGAATAAGATGATTTTTCAGGCACCTTACAGTTTCTGTATTGTTATTTTTAGATACGAAGGAAAATGCCAGTGTTGCAGATACTCTTCAGAGAGTTTGGGCTGTGTTGGAACAGAATACAGAACAGTATGCAATTTCTCTCTTAAGGTAAAGCAGTATAATGATTTTTTTTTAAATTGCAGTATCTTGGTATCCTCCAAGTTCCAGTTCAAATGCCACCATATTTGTAGGGTTTTCCCTAATCACTGCAGGTAGAAACATCCCATGGCTTCTGAACTTCCCCACTTAATACGTGTTTGTCTTCACTGCACTTATCTAATATTCTAAGCAGGAAAGCTCTGGAAGCAAAGCAAAGTTTCTTGAAGTCTTTTGGTGCTCAGGAGACAAAAGTTAAAAGTTTAGGACCTGCTAGGGGGGAGTATTTTTGTTTTTTATGTCCAATTTCTAATCTGTGTCCTACTCTTTGGCAACCGCACGGACATAGCACACCAGGCTTCAACAGTGAAAGTCATCTCTTGAAATCCCTGGTGAACAGCACTCTAGACACAGGGACAAGTGAGGTAAAGTGGGCCTTAGGAAAACTGCATTTTAACCACAAATCTTCGTGGAATGAATCTGATGCAAGGAAAGATTGAAGGCAGGAGGAGAGGGGGGAGACAGAGGATAGGATGGTTGGATGGCATCACTGACTCAACGAACATGAGTTTGAACAAAGTCTGGGAGACAGTGAAGGACAGGGAAGGCTGGCACGCTGCAGCCCATGGGGTTGTAAAGAGTCAGACACCATTTAATGACTGAACAACAACAAATATATAAAACCAGCAGACCATTTTGATGTAGGAGCTGGCAGACCAAATCTCTAACAGTGACTATAACGGAAAAGCTCAAGAAAATAAAGAATAAAGAGAAAATAGATGAAAAGTTTAGATTAATAAAGCACAGTTAAATGGAGAGTACATAAATATAATTTCTAACAACTGAAATTTAAAATGTTTTAGTTTAACAGCATATTAGGCAGAATAGAGGAAGAGATTAGTGAACTGGGAGATAGGTCAATAGAAAAATAGTGGAAAATAAGGAAAGAACTAAGGAAAATATGGGGCATGCTTAGAAAGTCCAGGATTTATATCATTATAGTACCAGAATATAAAAATATAATAGCTGTTACATTTCTAAAACTGATAAAATACATCAACTTGGATTTTCAAGAGACTCTGCATGCAGAGTCTGTGCAGGAAGGACACAAAGGAAACCATAGTCAAGCTGCTAAAAACCAAAGGCCAGAAGAAAAATCTTCAAAGTTACCAGAAAAATAAGACATATTATTTTCAAAGGACAATTAGACTAATAGCTACATGTAGGAGTAAAATCTTAACCTTAGCAAAGCAAAATGCAGAAATTGGGTAAATGGAGGTACAGAGTTCTAAGGTTCTGGCATTACTGCAGAAACGGTAAAGTAATAATCTAGATGAAATTCTAATAAGGCAAGGATGCATAATATATTCTCTAGCAATGTGCTAAATGGATCAACTAGTCAGTTTAAGAAACTAGATTAATATTACACATTTTCTAAAGAACAGAAAGGAAGAGGAAACATTTACCAATTCAAAACCTTGATTTTAAAATCTCAGCAAACAGTAAAAAACAAACAAACAAAAAAAAACCTGAAATTGCAAACCAGTCACCCTCTTAAAATTAGATGAAAAAATGTAGCAAATCAAAATTGGAATTCTATAAAAAAAATACTATCTTTTAATTAAGTGGGTTTCCCACTCAGACTTGCAAGAGTAGTTTAACATTAGGAAATGCATTAATTCAGCACATTAACAGGGAAAAGGAACAAATCATTTGGTCCTTCGGATAGGTTCAGAAAAAAAACATTTGAAAAAAAGCAACACAAATTCAAAATTTTAAAATTTTTAGCTAAGTAAATTTAGAGATTTTCCTTAATATGTTATGCTACCTAGTATATTTTTAAATTACTGTAAATATAATTAGTGGTGAAAATTTGAAAGCTTTTCCTTGAGTTGGGGATTGAGACAAAGATGCCTGCCTAAACACTTTTATTCAAGGTAATCCTGAAATTCCAAAAATGGCAGAAAGGTAATAAAGCAATAAAAGTGTCAGCAGAATTTGAAGGGAAGAAATAAAACCACCATTTACAGGCAATATGGTTCTGTATATAGAAAGTACCAAAAACATGCCACATGAACCAGAAGATATAACCAACCTGGTCTTTGTTCTTGTAGTTATTTTTAAAAGTTTTTTAATACCCTACTTCCCTGGTGGCTCAGGGGGTAAAGAATCTGCCTGCAATGCAGGAGACACAAGGGCTGTGGGTTCAATCTCTGGGTCAGGAAGATCCCCTGGAGGAGGGCATGGCAACCCACTCCAGTATTCTTGCCTGGAAAACCCCATAGACAGAGGAGCCTGGCAAGCTACCGTCCAAAGGGTCACAAAGAGTGGACACAACTAAGGACGCGGGTGTGCAAATATAAGCCTATCATTTCCTTCCACTACCAAAGACCAGCGATCAGAAAGAGCAGGTGAATCCTGTCCTCCTTGAGAATCTCTCTGGCTTTGCTTCCCGCGGACGGTACAGTCAAGTCATCACCATCTGGAAGCCAAGCACAGCTCTAGCTCGGTCTAGACCTCCACAGAGAACCACTGTCTATTACCATTAGAGCTTCTTTCCCGGCTAACACCCACCATTTCACAAAAGACCTGAGACTCCTAATGCTGCTGAGGCTGGTTCTGGTTCCTGGCTGGGTGGGAGCTACAGCACCCAGGATCTCTGTGATCATTTCCATTGTGTTCTGGATTATACCACAGCCTTCCAGCAGGGCAATCATGGAGAAACCTAATTGCACTAGAAATCATGTACAAGGAAAACTCTGGCACTCTCCCCTTGTTCATGGCCTTTGCTTTTAGGGTTTATTTTTAAATCTTTTTTTTTTTTTTCAAATCAATTCCCCACTGTAAACTATGCTTTATTATTTATTCTCTACATCAAGTCCCCAGACTTTCAGTGGCTCCTACTCAGTTTTATTGCTAATTTTCCTGCTTCTAATTTTCCCACCCTTATAGCTTGATCTTTGGTGTGGTTTCCCATCTGTAAATTTCAATTACTCCCAGAGTCATGAATTAGGTTCTCCTTCAACTAAGAACTTCAGATAACTTTGGGCACTTTCGAGAGACATCATGGTTGACCTGAAAATGGTCACCTCTGCCTTTGAGCCACATACAACAAGCCTTCATCTGATGAAGTACTCAATCCATCCAACAGTGGACTGCAATATTTTATACTGTTTTTTTGGGGGGAGGTTCTTTTTTTTTATAAATATAATTTGCTTCAAAAATTGCTTTTGCCATTGATACTTAAATTATTTTTACCTTTCCAGACTTATGTTTAAAAGCAAGTGCAAATCTATGGAATCTTATCCATG